GATGTCATCATTTATGTTTTCATAATGTTAGCCATTTGGAGAAGAAAAACAGAGATAATACCGCATTGGTGTTGTAACGGAGAGATTCACACACAGCCAGCTGATGGCAGGAAGGGGAGAGAAGCCATAGCAACAGCTGAGAGCATCGCTGATGGTAACTTCTTTCAACCAACACAACCGCCAGCTCTTCCATCTGTGTACACAAAATTTATTTTGTCCCAATGAAATGTTGGGCTTAAAAATTTAGTACACGTTATTTTTACAGATGACCAAATGAAGCCCAGGAGCAGCCACCCTGGAAGATCTGCACACGAGGTCACAGCTCTAGATAGCCCATGCTCACTTCCCTCCTGGTTTGCCTTTCACTGAGGCTACCGAGGGGCTTTGTGGCCTGAGTGCGTGGACCCAGATAGGTATGTAGAGAGAACAGGTAGTGGATGCCATGAAAAATGTGCCAGAAAACTGCAGGGCCTTGAACAGTGTAGGGGCACAGAATGGGCTTTTCCGCAGGAAGTGACTGACATTTGAGCTGACATCTGAAAGTCCGATGGGAGGTGGTGAGAGGTGTTGAGCCAGGAGTAGTGCTGGTATTGAAGGGTAGGGCTGAAGCAGACAGGCCGGGGCGGGAAAAGCAGCTGAATGGGACAGCCAGGACCAATGGGCCAGGTTAAGGAATTTGGAATTTATCCTGAAAGCAAGCGGAAGCGGTCGTGGGCCGGGAAATCAGATCACGAGCTCAGAGGTGGGTTTTGAAACTCCCGGGGCTGTGTAGGAGAGGAGAAAGAGGCAGGTCTTGGGGTGTGGAGGAAGTGGGTGAGGGTCAGGCAGCGGTGACTGCTGGGGTTCTGACTTGTGACACAAGGTCAGTGACTGTGTGCGGAGGAAGGAGGAGGGAGGCTTCTAACAACAGCTGACAAAGCACACCTCTGGGGCAACCTTGTTCCCATGCAGTCTTCATACAGGGCCTATTCAGACGCTGCTATTATCCCATTACGTAGATGAAAAACTGAGATAGGGATTAATTGTCCAAAATCACACAGTAACTGTTCAGTACATGTTAGCCATTTCTGCCTCTTATTCATTGACTCATTCATTTGTCCATTCTTGGAATGGATGCCTGGCTTATTACTATATAAAACAGATGTACCCTGCCCTTGTGGAGACTGTAGCCTAGCTGGGAAAACAGACACTAAACAAACCGACGTTTGACCTTTCTTGGGCGCCCTGGTCAAGGGTGGTAGAACAGTCTAGGATTCTAAGATCGAATTGTAGCTCTTGTATAAATCTTGGGTGGATGTTATGGGGTGGATATGCTTTACTGACTAAGCCAAAAAGTATTTCTAGGTGTTCTTATGGTTGCACAGGCACCCCAGTGAATTGGGTCAAAAGTAGGCAGCGTGCTGACTTTACAGCAAGGAGGCCAGTGGGCCACGGAGGGCCAGCAGTACAGTAGGGTCCATGTCTCAGAGCGCTGGGGCATCTCCTGCCAGCGGTTAGGTACAGCTCCTCTGGACACAAGATGGGAAGAAGTGACCCAAATCTGACTGCCTCCATCAGATCAAGGGCAGCTTCCCATTCTCTACTATATATAGTAAAGAGCTTACATAAGAGTGATATGAAAAAAGACAACCGAGGGGGACAGAGAATGCCAGCTGAATTTTTTCCACTAAAGCTCATTTTTAACTGTTTGTTTTTTTCTGTTTCCACAATGTCGGTGTAGCAGGGGACAGTTTCCCCAGACAGGAGGGAAGCGGCTCAGTCACTTATGTCTGTGCTCAGCACACCTTGACCCATGGAAAAGAAACCGTACTCACGCTTCTTTTTTACTTACTGTTAAACTTTCAGAATCCCCAGGCTAAGGTTGAAGAGGAACATTCAGAACAAAATGGGGAAATAATATCTTAAGCCTATCTTAAGATAAATGCTTTCAATTACAATGAATGATTTCTTTAAGAATTTATTTCAACTAATCTTTTGTACACTGTACTGTACCCAGTGATACATAAATTTTGTTTATTTATTAGTGTATCTCAACATTACATGACCTTGTCATTATAAACTATTAACTGGATAAGCACATGTTCCATTTTCTTCTAGGACAGTTACTTTGTCTGTTGAACCAGAGTCCTTTCTAGTGCGTTATTTGTCTCTAAGGAAAAGGTAGATATTTGGAGAAATTTGGTAGACAGAGATATAAAACCATCCTGAATATTAACAGCTAACACTTACTGAAGGCTTGCCCAAGCACGCTCTAAGCACATGATATGTGATGACTCATTTCACCTTCATGGCTAGGAGGTAGATGCAATTATGACCCTCTTTTTAAGGATAAAGAACTGGTTCACAAAGGTTAAGTGATCAAAGAAATAATAGAGTCTAAAATTTAAATAGATCCAGTCTAATTCCAGAGCCTACACATGTAAAACGCACTTTAATTCCTAAGTCAGTAAGAGGTATGTGAGTGGAATCCCCAGGTGATGGGACGGAACCTTTGGAGCTAAAAAGTTGAGTCCTTAAACACGATTGCTTTCCCAGCTTCCCACTGTAGATGCTGTTTATGGGGAACAGTGAGTGTTACCCACTGTCCAATATAATAAGTGCAAGAGGCTCAGGTGTATTTATTTTTCTTTCCTTTGGAAAAGTAAATGTTAGAAAAGTTCAGTAACAGATTTAGAAGTATAAAGCTGGGACTGTTAGAACTGCCCTTGCTTATTTTCCAGACCAGATTTCCTTCTTTCCATAACCCTTGTCTGATGGCCGCCCCACACCCTCCACATTTTCTTGACCAGTGTCATTGATTCATCTGATTTTGTTCCCTAACCAAAGTGGAACATGAGAAGTCAGTGACAAGGCTGGTACGTACTCTCTCCAAGGTAGCACACAACATAGAAACCTCCATTGTTGCGTTAGTGTGTTAGGTTAATAATATATTGTATAACAAGGTTGTTTATAAATTACTTGTTTTACAATATGGCGTCAACACTATTGAACCACTGTAGACGTCAGATTTAGAACATTTTTTCTTCAGTGTTTGCTTATTTCTCATGATTGTGCTTTCACCAAGAGCAAACTGAGTAATAACTCTTTACACCCATACAAGGTAATTTTCAAGGAAGTGGTTTGATTTTTATTTTACACATACACATTAACTTTATCAATCCTATCTTTCATACCAGGAAGGGTAAATCAGGTAGTGTGTTCATATGGTATTATGTCAGAGCAGAAAAGATAAACAGGAGCGGTCTAACATCAGATACAACATGCAGGGAGGCAAAGGAGAAGCCTGACATAGCTGCTAACCCTTCACTCTTAAGATAGGATACAAAAATCTTTGGTCGGAACCAGTATCGGAATTAAGATAAATCAAGAATCTAAGGTTTCCTGCTTTTTCCTCTATTCATTGTTGTATGTTTGCATGTCAAAAATGTATTTAAAAATCTTGAAGAACATTAAATATGCCTCCTTAAATGTACCTTCTCTGGGGAATTCAGTGCAGTCTGTAGATGCCTCCGTACTGTTTCTGTTGGTGAAAACACAGTGTCACCTTTCTCCCCATGTCGGCAGCCCTTCTGCTTAGCGTGGTTCCCTGTCTGGAGTCACCCATGGAGAATTAAACCCTGATTGTGAAGAGCAAAACTTCAGGTTTGAATCAAGTTTTCCTAATATGGAAGAATGATGTAATGCTCATGGAGGGGGCCAGGTTCTCTTTGTTTATTTATATTAGCTGAATTCCAGGGGGAAATGCGCTATGCAGCATGTGGCCTGCTGGGTACTATATTTAGCTAAACTAAGTTAATAATATCAGGCGGCATTTTTTTAGTTACGCATTCAAAGTATTATAAGTTTTTCTCCAAGCATCTTATTTTTTATAAAGTTTGTTCAAGCATAAATGCTATTATTAAAATTTCACTTTCTGAGTATGAAGAATGTATCTCCTCTTATCTCTCTGTAGCTCGCCAGGTCTCCTCCTGGATAGTGGTTTCTGAGTTGAGAGAAGACCTTAGTTGAGACGATCCTATTAGCTTTTCCAAGTGGACTTTAACAAGGAAGGAATAGATAAGCACCTGGCACTATTAATCTAGATTCTCTTCTATCCCCCTAAACTTCTTCTAAATATAAAAATAGCCGGTGTAGCTTATAATGGCAGGCTATTGTTTTTATACTTTTACATTGATTTTAAGTACATGCATAAATGGGTAAAAAATACCTATGACTTTATTTAAATGTAATACTTCAGCTTTATAATTGGTCATCCCCTCTTACTGACATGTTCCAATATTTTTGCTTGTGCTCTGTTACACGATCCAAGGCTTACATTGTATTTCACGTGAGACAAAATTTATCTTCACACCACAGCTGTCTTCTGCCCTTTTCTCCAAATTTGCAGAGGTCACAGCTCTTCCCCATGATTGATATCTATGTTCACTGCAGCAGGAGGACTAATTACACAAGCATTACACAACTAATTACACACCACAGCCTTGTGGTGTGACCTGAACAGAATACGGCTAAGGAAATGGAGTCTCTCAGCTCCTGTGGGAGAAAGCTCACAGGACAGGGAGGGCGCACGGCCATCATGGTGGGTAGCACCAAAGGGATTCCAGACAGACTGACCATCTGTGAGCACCTTAGAAAAGGCGAAAAGTTTGAAAATCCATCTTAGAGTCACCTCTGGTATTGCTTGTGGTGCAGTTAACAAGTAAATGAGAAAATAAGTCCGAAATCAGAGGACAGCTTTTTGCCACAATCACAGACAAACCTATCACCACTATGCCATAATATTGACCCCCCAGAATCCAAGTTATTCTAAGGTTCTTTGGTGTGATTCCCCTTTGGTAGAGCACCTGATAAACATCAAGAAGAACAAAGAGACAGTAGCCCTTGTGAGCGGCTCCAGGAGCACTGTCTAGTAGAAATACAACGCGGATCACAATGTAGCCACATAAGCAGCCTTAACAGTCTTGTAGTCACATTCAAAAGGGAAACAGAACAAATGAAACTAATTTTAACAATCTTTTATTTAGCCCACTTGAAATGTTACCACTTGCACATAGAAGGAATATAAAAATGAATAATGAGACCATTTTACATCCACATTTTGAATTAAATTTTCAAAATCCAGTGTATATTTTACACTTTACAGCATATCTCAGTTTGGACTAACAATGGTTCCAGTGTTCAAGAGCCACATATGGCCGATGGATCCCAAACTGAACAGAGCAGGTCTGGAGGTGTGTGACCAGGGACAGGCAGGCCCTTCCCCTCCACACCAAGAGAGCAGACACAGCGTTAAATATGTTAATTGGTTATTTTCATCTTTTCACATCTGAAAACTGCTGCCAACTGATAAACCACGTATTACTGTCAACCCTGGCGATATAAGTGGAGCTCTTTCAGTGGAGAATTACATGTCAGGTCCCATTCTAGATTCTGAACCGCAAATCAACCACAGAAAGAAGTCCCTTTCTGAAGATGCTGACTTCCCTGGCCTGGCACAGGAGCTGGGGTAGAGAGCTGGACATTAGGCAGAGGATACAAAAAGAGGGGGAATGAAAGAATTCCAGCAGTCAGTGCACGGGAGTATATAAATGACAATGAGTTAGAGACAGGGGCTCACTCTTGCTCACTCCCATATTAACTGAGTCCTTTGGGGAGTGAACTGTGCTGTTTTCTGTGAAATATTATTTTCAGTCTGAGGCAAAAGCTTCCTCAGTTATCAAAGTGATTACAGAGATTCCCATCTTTCTTTAAAAGAGAATTTCATTATTTAAAAACACAATACCCACAGAAATGTAAAAAAAAAAAAAAAACTGAAGAAACTATTTTCTGTAATAATATTTTGGTACCAGGCTCCAGATGACGAAATCTCTCCCCCAGGACACAATAACCAAAGCTAAAATCCGAAGTACAGCCTAAATAATGCACAGTGAGACTGATACTTAACAAAGATTTTTATTTTTATTTTAACTGAGACAGAGTTAAAGTTTTATCTGTTCCATCTTCATATTTGGTTAAATCTAACTTTAATTACTTCAAAGAATTTGGTTTCAGCTACATGTAGAAGTAGTAATTGCTGTCAGCAGTGTTGGGACAGCACTGAATAATCAAATATATTCGGTGTGGAAATCTGTGTTCAGAACACTCGGTATAGGAGCACAGAAGCGTGGCGCGTACATCTGTGTGCTTATTAGGTCCAGGGTAATCTGGGAGGGAACTCAGGCAGTGGTAACAGTGAGTTGTGAGGAAACTGATTTTTCTGGAACTCTGCTAGTGTTTGGGGAGACTTTTTTTAAATTTATTTTTTATTTTTTATCATGTATGTGTTACTATTTTAAGAAATTGAATTTAATTTAAAAGAAACAAATACTGCACAAGAAATAATGTCTGCACTTATAATTTTGAATGCAAATTTTAAAAGTTTTTTATGATGACTACTGTAGTACTGACTTTCAGGAACAATCATTGTGTTTTAAATTCTCTCAGGCAAAAATGTTCAATGCCGTTGGCCATTAAGAATACTTTGCTGATTGCACAGTCTTATATGATGGTTTACCTTTGGCCATTTCATTTTCATAATCAAAGCCTAATAGCAGTATCTTATTAAAAGGCAACAAACTAAAAATGTTACCAGCCATTTGGCAGAGTAAATTTCAGCCAAATTTATTTGGATCCTGAATTCAAAGTGATTATGAAAGCAGTTATAAAACTGTTTCCTGTCTTGAGAAGAAAGGGATACTAAAGCTGCATGGGAAATCAGTGGCAGTGCATAAGCCTTCATTTACTGGAGTGGCTTAGGGGCGGCTTGTACATGAGGCATGAGGTAGGGGACTATTCTAATCCTTAAGGTAAGGACTGAGACCTGTCGCCAAAGGCACACACTGAGACGTCAGTGGAAGCCCTCAGATTGCCTTCCCACCAGTAGGTCTGTTTGGTGCTCCTATTTTGCTGCACCGAGTAAATGTGAGGTCACGTTCACTTCTCCACTCTTTACCAGTCTCTTCAGATTAAGGCTAAACAAGCAATAGCTGGAAGTTTAAAAGCTCACTAATTTATTAGCAAGAGAGCCCACATGTGTCAGGGTCTCTCAGACCAGTAAAGGCATGAATGATGTGTTTAAGGAGCGCTTTCCTTTCTCCCTGCACACATCTGAGACAGTCTGAGAGATAAACTGAGGATTCTGAGAGATCCAAGCATCAGGTCTGTGCTGGAGGGATCTCAGATGTGAAAGGGGGTGTGCTGTCAGGCCAAATGAGCTTCGCTACGGAGGTAAGATGCCCCAAAAGGCGAGAGAGAGAGAGAGAGAGAGAGAGAGAGAGAGAGAGAGAGAGAGAGAGAGAAAACGTTCCCTCCCTGCAAACAGCAGAACCACAATGAGGAATCAAAAGGAGAGGCTGACTGAGAACAGATTCACCTACCACTGCTACTCCTTAGAAGAGAGGGCACAGGCCAGGAGCGTTCCCTCTGGAGTTCACTCCACAGCAGAACACAGTCGAGGGCAGAGGGCCCTCACAGTGCCTTGATGCTTCGAGGATACCACACAGTGAGAGTTTTTAAATACAATGGTATCATGCACTTGACAGGCAAAAAGAAACATTTAGCCTATTAGCTCATTAACATACAGAATAAATGGCTATACAGAATAATCTGTAACTCAAATAGCTTGAATGTCTCTGGCCTATTTTGCCATTTTTGTAAATTCTGTGGATCTTCAATTTACCCTTCTGATAAATATTTTAGAGATTAAAATACACCAAGCAAAAAAAAATCACTATTGAGTTCATAACTTTTGTATTTCCATACTTGTATCTATTACATTAATCCTGTCTTATTCAGATGGTATTAATCACAAAACTATTTCTTAATTTTGGTTCCTTGGTAGCAATTGTTTGTACTTCTGAGAACAAAAGTATGCTTTCTTTTTCTAGTAGCCATAATCAAGATATATGATATTTGAAAGGCCAAGTTATGAAGAAAGGTACAACAAATACATTCTCTCATTTTTACCTGGGACACCTTGGCAAATAATTTTATCACATTTAAACTTAAAGCTGTGTGTTATACTGACACCACTGTACCCAGTCAGGCATGCATAGTGTATACCACACACCCGCTGAGACTGTGTTACTGGGGCCTAAACTTATTGGACAGTCAGCTATGCATCACTTCATCCTCATTCTTCAGGGAGAATGTCACCCTTGTGGCAACCTGGCTGGTTTGGAGCATAACTGTCCTTTGCTCCTTGGAATGTTTGTATTATCATTAGAAAGGATTTAGAATATTAAAAATGTTCTTACCCTGGGGTCCTCACTTGAGACCCTAAGAGTTGAAGAAATCCAATCCCTAACCTGAGCTCTGGCATAGTCCTTGTGCAGTACTTCACCAGGTTTATCACCCTGCTGGGCAAACCATGCAATTCCTTCTGTCTGTCTATTCCTGGCTTCCGTGTGTACCATCACACTGATGATACACTCTCTCCAGTGACCTTTTACATCATTTGTTTTAACTCTAAAAAACATAATAATCACATTCATTCAGGTGTATATGCACCTCCCCTAATAGGTACTACCTATTCTTCTAACCTTTCAGTGTATAATCTTATGGTATCATCATAAAACCCAGATATGGCATGCAGCAGGCTTTGTTAAGTACATGTAATACAGGCTTAACATTACAAGTGCACTCTTGGCTATACAGAATAATCTGTAACCAGTTTGTAAACTTCATGTACCTATTATACGTTTCTCATTCTTAAGAGTAATTACATCAGAATTGGATTGTTTTATCTAAGAATTATTTGGATTGGTTTAGTCATTTCTCAGGGTGGAAACCTCATTTATAATAGTTCTTCCCCAAGATACATTTAGATAGATTTCATTTACTGCAGAAAGTTGGATCTGCCTCCTAAGGGGAAAGGTTAGTCAGATCTGTCATTACTGATTCTCATCCTTTGGCCTCTAAGGAATGTCAAAGGTAGCTGGTCAAAAGCGAAGAAGAGTGAAAGCCATTGAAAATACACAGGTTTTTTTTTTTTTTCATGGTCACAAAGCTCTTAATTTGTGCTGCTAAGCTGCATTTCTTGAGCTTGCCAAAATGCATTTTTGAGCTTCTTCATTCTTCAGATGAGAGGTTGGAATGGGAGCCTGGTGACCAGGCGAGGCCTGCATTCACACCATAGAACCCTTGGCTTGGGTATCGTGGCTATTAACTGTTAAACTAGCAAGGGTTGACCTTTAAGGGAACTAAATTACTCCAGTACTAGAGCCAAAAGTGCATTCCTTTCATTTATTTATCCTTAAGAGATCAAAATATGTAAAAAATGTTATTGGCAGTGTATTATTTATTCAGAAATGTTTAGTTCTTCAATGATAGGCCTATGTTAACAGGAATTTGGAAAAAATCTATAAATTGATGTAGTTCATCAGCATGTAAAAAATATATTCCTAAACTTGAACATATTTAGTGATATAATCTCTCAAGAGATTAACATAGCAGATAAATAAAATTAGTAATATTCAGATGTATAATTTTGAAAGACTAGATAATGGTTTTTATAACATGAAGAGACTTGAAAACTATTTAAAGGAAACTATCTAAAAATACTCCAACTTTAATAATGACAAAATTCAGACCCCAAATTATTTAGTCAAGGTCATATAATAATTGGTATCACAATCACTTCTGCCAGGGAATGCACTCAGTATCTCAGGGGCCAGAAGAGTTGAAAAGAGCTGTGATTTCAAAGCCAAAGCCATTTTAAGAGTTTAATTCCAGTTTATTTAGATGTTATTCTTTTTACTAGTTTACTCTTACTGCAACAAACATCTTGTTCAAATAGGAAGAATAAAACTACAAATATATAAAAACTCCCATGATGAAGTTATGGTAGTATTTATGCTATCATGTCATGTATCTTTTGATTTCCAGAAATTTAGCTTCAGATTTTACTTGCATTGTGTGAATTAAAGCTCATCTTCCTGTCCATCTGCTACCTTTTTTTGAACTTAGGTTGTACCACTGTAACTAAGTGGAGACTAAGCATTCAGTAGTTTCTCATTGTAAGTGCTGGTCGATGCTGCCAAAACTGAAAGAAATTCTGGAAGCAAATTTAATTTCTTAGTTGCAAAAACAACCCCTTCAAGCTGCTTGGTATATTGTGATAGTTTCTCCAACAAATAAACAGTTTTTAGGCATCTTGGACATAACTACCTAAAAGTTCCATGTCTGGAGTCCTCAGGATCTGCTTTAGATTGCACTTCCGTGTTCACAGCCTATTAGCTCAGAAACAGAGAGGACAGGGACAACAGAGTGAGAGCCACAGTCTAGGAAGGAACCCAAATTAGGAAGGTCCTTTGTGCCTGATGGAGCCACAGAGCATGTGCTAAGTCCTGAATACTCCATGGTGCTTGAGGAGGGGCACTGCATCCTGGTAGTCATGAGCCAGACCTCTTCACACCACTCACTTAATAAATCCTTATACCTCAGCGTCCCCTCTCTTGTATCATGGAGACCATAAAAGTGGCTTCTTTCTTAAGGTTTTTGTAAGATCAGATGAGTTTTTATAGGTAAAGCACTTATGATGATGTTGGTACATGGCAAATGCTCAGTGATAGTCTTAACCAGTGGTGGTGGTGCCAATGGCAATCCTGTTGGTGCTTGTAGTTGCAGGAATGGTCGTGATTGATTAAATTCTTCGGAGGAGCTCCCCACCCCCCAGTGGCTTCAAAGATAGCAGATAAATAAATGGATCTCCTTTTCAGGTTCTAGGATAGTTAGTTACTAAAACAGTAGTATTGTCTTGTTTGTATCTTCTTCTGTGATGTGATAAACTTCTAGAATTTGTCTATTCCTTAGAGCTGAGAGCCTCCCAATGCTACAAAGTGCCCTACACCGAGCTAAACCCCCAGTCCTGTATGTTTTAAGTCATTTCATCTGTTATGGTAATCTTTATATCCAAATGCTTTTAAAAATTTAAACAGTATAGATTATAAAATGCAAAAGTTTTTTCCACCTCATTGTAGTCTTACTTTCTAGAGATAAACACTTTGAACGCTTGTTTGTTTTTTTGGAACTTTGCAAACCATATGTAAATCTATCCGTTTACTGTTCATCAATTTCAGTTAGTACTATTAGATTAACTTTCAGTATTCTTTCCACCAGGATATTCTTGTCAGGCCCTTGACACCAAACAGTTGATCATTTTTCGTCAAATTAGTCTCTGTTTCCTCTTCCATATCTGCAAAATAAAGAAATTGGCATTAGAAATGATTTGAACTAACTTTTTAAAAAGAAAGATAAAAGAAAGAGGAGGCAGACAGCTAATTTGTACTCAGAATTCTGAGATAAAACTGTCCTGATGGTTATCTGGAGTTAAGTGCTAAAATAGTATCCAAATTTAACTTTCTCCCCTTGTCTTTTTATCTCTCAGCTTGTTGTCTTTTTTATGTATTGGTGTTCTTTTTATAGAATCTTCCAAGATAGGCAGAGATTCCAGAAATTCTCTCCTTTTAGTTGTCAAAGGACAAAGAAACACATTTCTCTTCCATCTTTAGTACAAGAAAAGAATTTCTGAGAAAGGCTCTGATTGGCCTGGCCTGAGGCCATACAGTGATTGGCTAGTCCCGAGTCACATGGTCACCCCCTACCAGGGGTTGGGAGTAACATAACTTCTGACATAGTCACAGCAATAGGGTAAAAGTGGGTTTGCAAAGGACTGCTCCTGCCAGGTGAAGGGAAAAATAGCAGATTAACAAAAACAGATTTCCATACTACTTGGTGTTTCCGATTTTTAAGAAGGAACTCAGTCAATTTTCACCTATGAGTGAATCACTACCTGCTTCCGTGAATGCTAACTGCCATGTCATCAACCAGTGGCCTCTTTTTCCTTCCAGAGAAAGCATGGCCTCTGCCACCCATCCTTTAACTTAGTACACCATTACCAACTCCTGGAAGCACTGGAAAAATGAGTCCAGACGTCACTGCAGTGCTCCAGGCAGACAGCAGTGCTCCTGATTCTAGCCCCAGTGCAGACATTCAGTGCAGCCCTGCTAGTAACACTCTATTAGGTCTCTATGAGCTGCCACACAATGGACACAGAGGGAATCATCCCCTTTCTGTACAGGGGCCAATCTTGTTATCTCCGGAGACAGTTTATGCTTTGAAAGAGTGACTGAAGAACAGTGCAGGATGGGAAGAGTGGGTCCTATCAAAGAAAATCATGGCCTAAAGATGACTACAGTTCTCACCAAGTACTGAAAATGTCCCCGGAGCACCTCTTCTCGAGGCAAACATAAACTTGATGCATTTTTGACTGATAACCAAATAAAATGGAAAATGGGCACTGGTACAGGCTGCCACTGCCTGGAACATGATGGAGTGCCTCCCGCATGCCAAATTAGGAGCTGTGTTTCCAGGTTCACAAATGCCCACATTTGCCAATGAGAGCTTCATATTTGGAGACTAAAAAGCTACAAATACAATTCTATCATTTAAAGAACTCTGACAGTTAGATAAGCATGTATATATAATAATAAAATACATACTTTAACCATATTATAATAAAATATATACTCAATCTTTTTAACAGTTCCCTTTTCCATATTCTACATCAAAGGATGCCTGATAATCTCTTTATAGATATTTAGTAGCATCTGTTTGCAGAGCATTGTTCATATAATACAAAGAATGTGAGTCTGGCTCTGTGAGACCTCTTTTGGGGGATGAGAGGATTTTGAGGCTGCCGCACTTGGATGGTTACCTACAAGCCTAGTAGGCTGGAGTGCTTAGAGGAGAGAAGAGGATGCTAGAAATTACTGGGAAGGTCTTAGAGAAGAAATAGACATGGATGGGCAAAAAAGGATACAGATCACCTTAGGGAATGCATAGAAACTGGCAGGGGTAAATCTTCCAAAAGAGATAATGCATGAAAAAAGGCCAAGAAGAAGGAAGACCCAAGGTAATTTTGGGAAACAGATTTATTTGGGAGAATGAAAAAGAAAAAGGAAGAGATCTAGCATTGGGTGGAGATAAGATTATTAGGGCTATTTGGGTTCCAAAAGTGGGGCTTTGGAATATCAGACATTATTAGGGAGAGACATTGGATTGGAGTGAGAGTCTCTACAATATGTTGAGTTTGAAGTGAAGAGGCGCACTGATGTTATATGGAAGTGGATGACAATTGTAATTCAGGACTGAGGCTAGGTTGGACAGGTTAGGGAGGGAGTTTGTAACAACTGATTCCTTATACGAAGAGGAGCATAAAAGAATGGTTTAGAATTTGGTGGGACACCATATTCACAGAGGTGGAAAAGAACCAATGAGGGAAATAAAGCCACAGCATCAGAAGTAGGAAAACAAGAATAGTTGTGTTAGTGATGTCAAGTGAGAACAGTGCTTTAAGAACTAGAGGCTGGCGATCCACTGTCACATCTGTAGACACATCGGAGAAAGACAGCAGGACCCCTGGATTCCAGATCTTGGACACAGCATCAATCTATCTTTACACTGAACAAAATGGCTTAAATGCATTTTTGGAAGATTTACAAAATCAGGCCCAAGGATGAAAAATATTTGTGGTAGAAAGAAGGGGAAAGTTTATTAACAGAACAGTGGCCACTGAGCTCCTGACTTGCTATAGCTCATGTTTCTCTGAGGAGGAACATTATAGCGCAAATACGTCCAACCCTGTCCCCACAGGAGCTGTTCAGAGACACACAAAACTCAAAAGCTATTTTTCTCTATTTCTGGGCTGTGTTTATCCATAGGTGTATCTATCTTAAGGGAAAAAAAGATGCAGCTAATATTAACCAATTAGGTGATGATTATCCATAGATTATTTTGTTCTACCTCTGTAGTGCTTTTAAATTGTTTACCAAAAAATGCACATTTCTCAAAATGAGATGAAATGGATGTAAAAATGATGCATACATACACACACGCAGACACCATATTTAGACTGATTTTGTTGTTTACTAGTTACTTCAAAATGAATATCTTCATAATGTTTAAGATTTTATAGGACTAAAGAGGACAGGTCATAAAATCTACACGTTTACTAGGGCTGTAGGGATATTACATTATAAATTTCCATTCTAAAGTAGAGAAATGGTTCCAGAAAGGATAAATGAACTGTCCAAGTCATAAATAGCTCATAGCAGAGCTGGAGTTGAACTATTGGAACATTTCTCTATTTTATAGACTCCATGTTCTTGCAAATAACCTGCACGGTAGTGGCTTTATCTCTAACATTACTCTCTTAGAAAAAGGCAACTATGTATTGCTAAGTGCCATGCAGAAATCTGGGGATTTTAATTAAATTCAGCAATATTAATTGATTAGTTTATCTGTGAATAGACAGGAAGACCATAAAGAGAAAGATGTTCAGATAGGGCATAGGCAAATGAGAAATTGCTAATTTGTAAATACAAATTGCTATTTTGTAAATGTAAATTTGGGTGAGCAAATAATAGTTGTTTGGAAAGATATAATCCTTTGCCCCAAGTAATAATTTATTTTTAACAAGGACCAACTGTATATTCCATTTAGCAAGCATAAACTAAAGTAGAACTGACAGGATGATACCAGTCTCTGTACAATGATAAAAGGGGAAGCTGAAGAGACAGTAACCAGATGAAACTTTAAAATATGCCCGATTCTTTATTGTATTGTGAGATAGAAAGTTAAGTATCTGTCTGTCTTTTTTCCCACCGGTTCTTCAAAATCCAAGAAATTTTATGCTGAAGACTTTTAAAGTTTCTCAACATCTGTCTCACAGGGAGCTTTTCTTTGGTGTTTCAATTAGAAATGAGATCATTGATTTCGCCTCAAACACAGACAAAGAAGATGGAAAAACAGATTTTTCTTCAAAAATGTACTTGGTCAATGTTAAGAATTAATACCAAACATTTTCACTGGAAACGGTTTATATTCCTTTTAATGTCCACTAAATTAGTATAATTTTCATAAGAATCAGCAGCTAATACCTTCCTGCTGTTTTCACTGGCCTTTGAAGCAGTAGAAATGAAATCACTTAAAGTGTTTTATCCTAACGCTGAGTTAATGATACTTGTAAGAACCTGATCTCTCAGAGTGTCGTCTAAAAGGGGCCAAGGCTGAGACTCCATCGTCCGTCATCAGTCAGATTCGGCAGTCGCCACATGGCTGCTGACACTGTCAAGACCCGGCCCATATCACATTCAGTTTATGCCTGGCCAGCCAATCCTGGTCCTTCTCCGGGACTATAAATGCTTTGGACCACATCCTGCAGCCTTCACAGACAACAGGACTCTATGGGAACCCGTGTCTCCAGGGAGCCAGCAGCAGGACTCTTATTCTGAGGGTCACATCAGTACTGACCCTTGACAGAACCCTGTCTCCCAGCCTCCCCATCCTTATTCCTTGTGCCACATGACAGATGCAGCGAGCCTTTGATTTTCAGAGATTCCCAGGAGGATTAGGAAATGGCCAGCAATTGTCCCCCCTCTGCCTTTCTCATGGTATACGGAACTTCAAATAGAGATGAACTTTATATATGAAGGCATAAAGAGCTACTGTCTTTTGGTAGTGGAGCCAGATATGCTGCTTATTGTAAGTGCAAAGGACAAATCTTTCTAAGAGACTCAGATCATGTGCTGATTTTACTCAGGCCCCTTCTCCCTTGAACCCTCACATGGAATTAATTGTGTTTAGGTCTGTCTTTGTCTAGAGAGTCAGCACAATTTTCAAAAGGCTTAGAATGAATTAAAGATCAAAGAATGGGACTTTGTAAAGAAACTTACATTATTGTGTAATGCTGGTTACATTCATCCCCTCACATTCCCAAGCAGTAGTCAATTTTGAATTGATTTAGCATTCTTTAAAATCCATCTTGATTTTTGCTGTCTCCCTCAACCTCAGGGGAATGTATTTTAGTTAATAGTTACTTTTGCACTGATAACTGCCTTGAAACCCAGTGCAATACACTCTCATTGGCTTATATTGTTTTTATGGTATAAATGATTCTTCTCAACATAATAATTTTTTGTTGTTACAATTGTATTTGACACGGGTCTCACTGTGTAAAATTCAGGCTGGCCTTGAATTCACTATTTGGCCAAAACTGGCCTCCAGCTGGTGGTGAGCCTCCTGCTTCCCAAGTGCTGAGATTATAGACCTGGCCTGTAACTTATATATACCTTCTTCCAAGGGACTGTAACAAGTGCTAAACAAAGAAAATTATTGCATATTGACCCTCATGCCATAGATCTAGTTTCTATAACATGAAGATACAAACTGAGGCATAATAGAATAAAAAGACAATTGGAAACTTAATATGGTAAAGTCATAGGTGGATCTTTATCAGTAGCACCTGAGCTGTAAGTCTTTGTAATTGAAGTTTTTAAATTCCTGGAATTAATATACTGAGCTCTCTTACACCTGTGACTCTGAGCTAATCTGTACAGAGCAGTTGTTTGTGGGCACCCAGTAGCTTATCCCCTTATTCACTTATCTACCTTTATTTGGAAATTTTAAAATTCCCCAGTCCAGCAAGGGGCCCTTAGTGGAGCACTGTCCTATTGAATATGCCTGATGAACCCTGAAGGATACTGAAATTCAGATTATTGTCCTTGACAGTGATGAGTGCTGTGCTCTGTGTTTGGTTGCGTGTTATGTGCATACTGGAAACTACAGACCCCGCCTTCCAAGGGCATATGAATAACAGGACCAGCTTTTTGTCATACAGTGGCTTCTGCATTACATAACAAAAATGAAAGAGAATGCATAAATAGCATATTTATTCTTAAATCACAAATGTTTTCCAGCTTTGTGATCCTAAGAGTTGCTGCAAACAATCATGAGTACTCCATCTGTATTAGTGTGATCAGGGGACAGATTACTTCTTGCCATGATGCATATTGCTCCCAAGAGACATACTGGGAATTTCCAATTTACATAAAAGTTTTTTTTTCCAGAAGTTTCCTTTCGCATCATTTGTTTTGAGCTTGGGCAGCCTTTCTCCAGAGGAAAAAAGTGCTACATAGTAGTAATATCACGTTAGCAAAGTTTTTGTGTCTGCTGAACACTTTGGCGAGAATGACAGACACACAAGGCTTTGTGAACCAACTAGTCCTTTACATTGCTTAACCTCACTACTCTATGGAGACTTTATAGAAACTGTAGAGAGTAATAATCCCTATGCAGGGTGGCTGTAAATGAGTCCGTCCAGAGCAGGGCTTGTGATAGATCTCATGTTCATTGTTCACCTCCTATCTCCACTTCTGCACCTCTCCACTGGTCACTGCTCTTCCTTTGCAGGTCCCTTGCCATGGAAATGAGAGGAAAATTCCCTGTAAGAAGTGGAACATTGTTGTCATTTTTTAAAGGTTCCTCTTGTAGAGTCAACAGGACTGAGGTGGTTATGCTCTTGGGCTGCGGAACATTTTTGAATCCACATTATGTCCAGACATGGTGTTCACTGAATCCTCCCAATTGTCCTATGGCCAGGTGCTGGCTGAGCCAGGAAACAAGCGGGTACAGTCCATGAATGGGGACCCTTCTCACCCGTGCCATTGCTGCTTGGGCCTGTCTCTCTAGTCTGGTTACTTCATCCAACAGCAGGAAAGATGACTGAACTGGAAAATAAACTAGGATGGTACACCTCCCTTTATCTTTAATGAATCTAAACCTTTGCTTCATCCAACTTCTGCAAAATTAAGCTTCTTGTTAAGAAGCATTGTGCAACCTTTTGGGGACAGGTAGAGGTCCCTGATTTTCTGTGGTGTAGGAGGGGACTTCCCAAGGGAGTACTTATATATTTCTTTCCTGAGCTGCAGGAATCTTTTGATGCCTGCCATTTCACCCTAAAAAGAACAAAATTTGAAGTCATATACAGTGGTACCTTGTTTAGTAAAATATGGTTCGCGAGCTCTGCATCAGGTGACAAAACATGTCCACAGCCATCTTTCCCACATGAATATGAATGTGGCCATCTTTTCCAGAATTGTGGAATGAATTAAGTTAACATGAGCCAAGTACCACTATATATATTCTTATATATGTCAATATTTAAAACTTTAGCTAATGATTCAGATCCTAATAGCCTGGCATCCACAGTTATAAGGAGACAGAAAAGTGAATAAAGTCATTAGGAGGGAAATATGACACAGATTTTTTTGAAAAATATTACGTCAAAGACCAAGGTTGTTTTGTGTGTGTGTCTGTTAGCATAGGATGAAAGAAGCCAGAGACAGGCACAAGTTCTAACCTGGCTCTGCAGATAGTTTACTGTGTGTTCTTAGGCAGGTTACTGAAAACCTCGTTTTCTATTTGTAAATGGATAAAGGCTGGACAGTTTTAGTTCCTTCAGTATTGAAACCTTTGCAATTGAAGGATGAGTAAGGGTGGGGGATTTTTTGATTTTTGAATTGGAGGCGTGGTGCAAAGGGGAAAAAAGAAACTGGGAGGAGTTTGCGGGATTTGTTGTGCAAAACTGAAGATTTAAACAGTGTGACACAGAAAGCATACTTGTGACCCAAGGCTAGAACTCAACCTAACCTTTTAGCCTTTCCATAGGAGTTCCAAACGCTTCAGTTTCATTTCCCTTTCATGTCCAGAGAAAAAGCAGCAGAAAAAAATGACGAAACCACAGAATTGATGAATTTTTTTAACGAAAAAAATTAACTTCCAACACCCACAGGCAAGGTTGACTTTCTGGTACCTTTTATTCGTTACCTTTTCATTACACTTTTGCAAAAACAGCTGAATGAGGATTGGGAAAATGATTTAAAATTATGTACCTTGGCAGCTGTAAGCTTGGGTTAGCAGATTTATTCTTTTTATCGCATGAATGAGTAGGCTGAGCCCTGGGAGAGGGTCAGAACCAGTATCCTGAAGAGTTTGGTTTTCTTGCCCTGGCTTTCCCACGACCGGCTTTCTCCGGAGTCATTCCCTAATCCCGCGGTAGCGGGCTCCTCATTCCAGCTACAGCGCCGACTACAGGCTGTCTGCAGCAGCCTGGGCAGATCCACACTGCATGGCTAGGTGCTGCTGCCAGGCCACACTGGAAACACTGGCAGAGCAGGGCAGCAATGGCTGAGAAGAGAGCCACCTGGATGACTTCCCATCCAGGTGCAGCAGTCGCCTGACGGGCGTGGAAGTGGGGTCCAGGAATAGGATGCATGGTGTAATGGTTAGGAAATGTGAAAGGGATAATAAAGGGGCGGGGCGATCAGGGAGGAGCATTTGGGAATTCCGAAAAAGCATGCCGGATGATGGGGTTTAGAGCTGGTGGGTGGTTTTTTATGAGTTCTATTCCTGGGCTGTTGTAAGTACATGAGGCAGGAGCACATGTGCTGGACAGTCTACCCAAACCACACAGACATCTGGGGCTTCGGGCAGTGGTGGGGCCCAGCAGTGGCAGGCTGCTTTTAAAACGCTTAAATGAAGTTCAGTAGGACTCCACAGAGTCCTTTGTTGTTAAGCATCTTTGATGTTTTGCACTGATTAAGAACATAGAACCATCCCCAGTTTATTCCATTCAGTACTCAGGGAAGTTTTTTTTGGTGCGTTTTTTTTTTTTTTTTTTTTTTTTTTGCCTTTTTATGGATTTAAGTGTAACCATTTTCCTGGATAATGACAGGAGACAAAGGACAGAAGGCGATTAGAACTCACATCTAACAAGACTGGATAACAGACTTAAGTCTTCTTTGGCTTTTTATTAGCAGTTTTAATTCTTTTTATTGCTTTGAGTTTCCGATTTATTTTTGAAGATGAGCTGTCCAGGGAAGACAGTTTGGGGGGTTCGTTTTATTTTAAAATGTTTTAAGTTATGTAATTACTTTGCTCTTTTCCTCGGACTGTTTTATCTTCTTTTTACAGCGCCACCTTCTGTTGCATTTCCCTTTGACAGCCGTTGGTTCCCAGGTTTGCCACAGTAAAGGAAAACATCTTAGATGTGCAAATTATTGTAAACACAAAAGTTTTCAAATAAAAGAGTGAGATTTTACTTTACTGTAAGCTTCTTGCCCTTATTTCAAAAGTTAAAGTTTGAACACTGGCTTCTGAATATAAAATATCTGGAAAACTTACAAAATTATTATAAAATTAATAGATTGTTGCATATTAGGCACCTCTGTGCTAAAGGCAAATGACCTATGTTTGTATTTATTTGAGCTATGGCACATAATATTAGTGGGTATTAAGACTTGTATAAGTAAGTGGCAGATCACCTTAAAATTTTTCATAAAGGCTGTTTAGGGGATAATTGTAAAGAATGAAAAATCAGCCCTGGCAGTTACTGATTGCAGAGTTGACAGCAATGAAGTAGGCAAACTAGACAATCTAAATTTGCAAAAAATAACTTCCATCAAGTGGGTTTATTTTGTGACTTGCTCGTTCTGATAGAAAAATCCCCTCCACTCCCTCCCCCCCAAATGGTCACAAATGAGAAGCCGAGAACTCATGACAAGTTTTTCTCACTATTTCTGCTTCTGTTAAAACTCGACTCTTGGAGGTGGGACAGAAGGTTCCGCGCGCAGTGGCCTGGGTTAGGTCCTGGTGTGTGAACCCACGCCGAGATGCCAGGGCGTCTCCAGGAGCGCTCGGCACGCGACTGGGTTCGGCCTCGGGCCAGGTGCGCGGCCCACCTGGGTCAGCCCCTCTGACTGTCGCTGCTCTCTCCCCAGGGACCCGCTGAAACTCCAGCAGCTGCAGAACCAGGTCCGCCTGGAGCAGGAGGCCTGCGCGCGCCCGCCCGGGCCGCCCTCGCCGCCCTTCCCGCCGCCGCCCGGCCTCCCCGAGCCCGCGGCCCCCGCGCCGCCCGCCGCCGCCGAGCCCATGAGCGCGCTCGCCTCCCGCGCCGCCTCCGCCATGCAGCCCTCCGGCTCCTTCAACTACGCGCGCCCCAAGCAGTTCATCGCCGCGCAGAACCTGGGCCCCGCGTCCGGCCACGGCACGCCCGCCTCCAGCCCCAGCTCCTCCAGCCTGCCGTCGCCGCTGTCCCCGCCGCCCCGGCTGTTCGGGCGCGGGCCCGCGCCGCCCTTCGGAGCCGAGCCCGACGCGCCCTGGTGCCCGTCCTCGCCGTCGCCCCCGCCGCCGCCGCCCCCGGTCTTCAGCCCCACGGCCGCCTTCGCGGTGCCCGACGTGTTCCCGCTGCCGCCGCCGCCGCCGCCGCTGCCCAGCTCGGCCCCGGGCTCGCACTGCTCCTCGCCCGCCGCGCGCTTCAGCCCCGGACAGACGCCCGCCGCCTTCCTCAGCGCCCTGCTGCCCTCGCAGCCGCCGCCAGTGGCCGTCAACGCCTTGGGGCTGCCCAAGGGCGTCACCCCCGCGTGAGTGACCATTGCCCCAGCTCCCACGGGCCAGGTTCGGTGGGTGGTGCACGCCTGTAATCCCAGCGACCTGGGAAGCTGAGGCAGGAGGATCCCAAGTTCCAACCCAGCCCGGACATTTAGGGAGGCTGAGTCTCAAAAGAGGAGGGATGCTAGGGATGTAGCTCAATGCTAGGCCCTTGGGTTCAATTGCCAGCTCCGCCAAAATATATAATGAGAATACAGAAAGTGCTTCCGAAACCCAGGAGTCCCAGTGTAAAACTTTACCTATTTTTCTCCATCTGATTTGAAGTGCCTACAGCAGCTTTAACAAGTATTATTGCATAGCTACCTCACATTACCAAGATCAACACTTTTTCTTCTGAATTAAATATAAGGTGCTCCCCTATTCAAAATCTTTGCCGTGCTCTTTAATAATTATGACAACGGGAGTCTCAGCTACCATTTGCCGAGCATTGTGCTAAGCAGTTCTCAAATATTATTTCAGTGGATACGACATTCCTAAGGGCTAACACTGCCTCACATTCTAGTAGTTAATCAACTCAAGGTCACATGACCATTAAACGCAGAACTGAATCCTTGTCTCCAGAATTCATGCTTTCCCCACCAAACTATGTATCTTAGCGTTTCTGCTTCAAAGCACAACCGGTGTACAAGTTTTGGGCAAGTATACACCTCTTTTAGGGCTGGAGGTGGAAGTACATGCCAGTAATCCCCTCACTCTGTGAGGCTGAGGCAGGAGTATTGAAAGTTTGAGCTCAGCCTGGGAAACTCAGGGAGATTCTATATCAAAATAACATTATAAAATAATAATAATAAAAGTTCTAACAGTGTAGGTCATTGTTAAGACCCAAGGCTTAATTCTCAATATGGCAACAAAGAAAGTGTTTCAGAAAAACCTGAACAATTAGAAAATAAGCCTTTACATATATCCAGTGATTGACATGATATAGTTTTAGTGAGAAATCATGAACTAATTCTGTCCTTGGCCAACAGTGATTTGTAGGTAAATTTACAAGACTCCTCTTTGCCCCGTTTTCTATTTGCAGATTGCCTAATACCTGTTTGTCCTGACTTCACGATAGAAGTCCTGTGGATTTTTGCTTGTTTGTATGGTTTTTTGTTTTTTGTTTTGAGAGATTCAGGCTGTCTCTGTAGCCCAGGCTGGTGTCACAGTCCTGGGATCAAGTGATTTTCCGGCCTCAGACTCTTGAGTAGCTTGGACTACACCATTCTCGCTTTCTATGAACTCTGTGAAATAGAAAATCATTGAAGATAAAATCTTCAAAAGTGCAGTAAAACTTCCAAACAAACATATCCTACAGGTGTTTGGCTTGGTGTGCAGAAGAGAAAAATGAGTGAAAGCTAACACTTACTCATTTTACCAAAGATTTCAAAAGCAGCTAGCAAAGGTCAGGCCAGTACCCATGTCGCAACTCTTCCTGCAGAAATCCTGCTTCAGTTTGTCAGAAGCCTAGTATTGTTCAGAAAGGAAAGAAGGAAACTCTACTAAAGAATAAAATTGAGAAGACCTGCAAACTCAATTTATTTTTATCTATAGGTAAAGTTTCCTGTCACTAGGATGAACTAATGCCCTCTTAACAAGCATCGCTGTATCTGTCCTTGATAGGTGGATGGGGAGCTACTCTTAGGTATATTCTAAATGTTTGAAATCTGGCTTCTTCTCAAATGCTTATTAGAAAAAGCATAGTCAGATAAATAGGTAAATAAATAAGGAAAAGAAGAAAATCTGTATAGTAACAAGGTGACAGTGCATTTCTATTGAAAGTCAAGTCAGTGAGCTTGCCTGGGGAGAAGAATCTGTTTTTCACTCCCAACTTTTCTGTTTGCAACTGTTAGAGAGATTTGCAAGTGGGAGTTTGTTACATGACCGATGTGTCACTAAAATGGTACCATTATTATGTTTGCCAGGAAGGTAAGTACTGAGTAAATACCTTGTTCTGATACTTCTTGTATAAAATCTGATCAAAGACCAGCCTTCCAAAGGCCTTGGGTGCTCAGGCCTTAATCATCTTAAGTAGCAAGAGTTGTTTATCCTGATCTTTCACTTGGACTGTCTTAAGAAGGCAACCAGTTTTAAGGGTTTACCTCAAGGAGCTGGGAGCACTTGTTTTTTATCACGATTAGTTACTCATTCTGTGAAGCCAAAATATTCTATAATTGTTACCACAAAAGGGGCTTGTCTTAAAAATTAATGGAGAAGTCATGCTGATTTGCAGCTGTGGAAAACTAGATCGAAAAATAGGCAGTATAACCAAAGATGCCTGCTAGCTTAGATGTTTAGCTCTGTACTAGCCCCGTAAGCCATCATTATGTGGTCACCCTCTTGTCTTGAAGGAATTTTCCTGTTGCTAAGTCACCCACACTTGAAGCATTCATTCTTTTGGTTTGATAATGTGGCATTGGAAACATTTTTTCCTCTGGCATATTGTGGGATCCATCCTTTGCAATCGGAATTCAAAGCAAAAATGTCATTATTTACCCTTCTTAATAATCTAAATAATTTGGCAAAAATCAAATGTCTCTTTCAAGGCTGCTATGACTAGTTGGAGTCCTCCAACTTGTAGGAACTGCCAATTATTGTCAGATTATAAGTGCCAGCAAATGAGGATTGATGATGAATGACAGATTGAAACAAAAATTCATTAGATTTTTGCCTACATTAGGCCAAAGTCTTAAACTTCATTTTCAGATATCTGTTTTCTTGTCAACTGCAAACCTTTTGTTAATTCTCCTTGTGTGTTTAGCATTGTTCTTCCTTTAACTTGGGGGCAAGAAAGTCGGTGTGTGGTGTGTGCCAAGATGCTGAATGGTCCATAGAGCTACAGTTCTGTTTCTCAAGTATTTGGGCAGCAAGACAGGGAAACAAGCACCAAGCCAAGAAGGTAGAAAGACTGGGCTCACCACAAAGGGGTGCAGTTGGTGGCTGGCTGCAGCGTGAGAAGCGTACATCCAGCACCTGGCGTGTCTGTGTCTGTGTCTGCAGGTGGTGACATTCTTCCCCAAGGCTACTGGGGTCACCAGTGGTGCAATGTCATCCTCAGAGCCTCCAAAAGATACAAAGGGAGACCATGAGGAAACCAGGCCTTCAAGATCTACTAGTACTTTCATAATGTTGACTGATTGTGGAATGTTCTTTTAACTGCTTCCACTGCTGCGCTTCTGTTTCTCCACACCTAACATCCCTGGGAGAAGGTCGGAATAGAGTTGGCCCCAGCACACAGGTGCAGGGGAGCATTTCTACCTCTGCTGGCCCCTGAGCCGAGACACCATGTCTAGAGTGAATTGCATCCATTTGCTCTCAGAGGATCAGGCCTTGGGGCTCCTGCCCACCTTCACAGGCTTGGAAGTTGTGCTCATCAGAGTGCCATGTGGCCTCTCAAGTGCCTCTTTTTATGTAAAGTAGGGTTTTGGCATGAATTGGTTCCCAGCCTTTGTCACTGGGGGCTGAGAGTTTTAATTCAGTGTTGCTCTTTCTTCCTTGACTTGGGAGAAATAAGTTGGGAACACTGTTATCTTTCTACACTCAAGAAGTAAAGGGATTTCCCAGAGTTCTAAAATACGCTTGAGGAAAGAAGGTAGACGGAGCCAGGCTTGAGTGTATTGGAGATCAACTGCCTACAATAAACACAATGTCTAATCTTTCTTCATTAAAGAAAACTGTCAAGTCACAACACCAAACCCTAGTCTCAGGGAAATTCTGTAACAGATTTAGTTGTACTTTTTACTTTGAGTTGTACAGGGCATTTTAGGCAGTTTTCAAGTCAAAAAAATTAGTTAAATATAATGACCAATAAAAAAGAACCCAACAGTCAGGCCTGGTAACACATGCCTGTCACCCAAGCACTCTGGGAGGCTGAAGCAGGAGGATCACAAGTTCAAGCCCAGCAAAGAAGCTGAAAAACAAAAGAGGCACTTTGCAGATGTCATATTGTTGCTTTCTCTTGTCTTTCAGGAAGACAGACGGGTGGGAGCCCTGGCATCCTCCCATAGCCAGCAGAGACTTGAAGGCAGGGCACTCCCAGGCTCTCGCTGTGGGGCTTGTTAGGGTCCAGCATTTCAGAGTTGGATCCTATCCTGGGCAGGTATTTCCCAGATCAAGCACAGGGCCTTGGTGTCTGCAGAGCCTGGGTGGAGATTCTGCTGAACCACAGCCTCTGCCCCCTCCCCCCCACCCGGGGTTTGCTCTGTCCCAGGCTGTGCAGGGTGGGCACCCACGCCTCTGTTGCTCTGTTCTTACAGAAGGTACTGTAGGAGCGCTTAATATTAGAACACAGAGATGCCTACATGTTAACATGAGAAGTTTGCTCACTCTGAATTTTGCAGGATTTAGTTACCTTCAGATATCCCTGAGTTGGAGAATACAGTAACAGCACCATTAGTGGTTTTTCAAGTCTCTGCTTGCTTGCTATGCAGGCACCTGATCTTTTAAGTCATTATTGTACTCTGATATTTGAGTTCCTGAAATATACTGACAGAAGTGACCTAGAATACTACATCAAGGGAAGGATTATTCAAGATTATTCAGTAGCCAAAAAAATTTTTTAAAATGACCTCCTGAGATTTGGAAGTAGTCAGATGTAGACAGTTTTACTTTCCAGATGCATACATGTGTGTGTTTTTATCTGACCACATGAATATTATTTTTAAATAGCAAGTGACTGACTGCAAAAGCCAGAGTAAACACATCTGTATGGCTCCGGCACAGCTGGGCGAGCACGGACGCGCTGCACCGAAGCAGAAGGGTGGGAGCCCACTGAACTGTTCGCTGGTTATGGTCAGCCTCTGAGTGTGGATTTGGGTGAGGAGTTTTGTGAGGTTTTGGTAAAAATTTACTTTGAATAAACATTTTTTAAAAAATTGTACAAACCATCACGGTGAAATCTCTGTCGCCAGATGGCTCATTTTATTTCTTCAGTTCTCAAAAGCAAGTGCCATTGGGGTTAGGAACCCAGAACTGCCTTCCACTGGACCCCAACACTATAGATTTTAAAGAAAAATTCAGCTGCCAAGGCTTTGCCTCAAAAACTTTTCTTTTCTGATGTTTCTCCTTCGTTTTTATTTCTAACAGCAACCTTACATGGGATCCCTAGATTCTATCCTCAGTTTAATGGCTTCCTAAAGTTTTTTTGGATTATTAATATTACTCTAATGAGATGCTCTCTGAAAAAAAAAAAGTTCTTATCTTAGAGTGTGAGAAACACTGTTTCCTCGCCTCTTTCCTCAAGGTCCATCCGTTGGACCTGCCGGGCTCTGCTGACCATGGGAACTGGACGCCACGCGGGTCTCTGTCGGCGTTCACACAAGCAGCCCCTTCCGGTCATTCACAGCCGCGGCTGCAGTGCCACCTCCTCAGAGGTTAACTGTGCCATCCAGTGTAGTTATCCATTGACACACCGGTGACTTGGTGCCCCCGACTACCTCCTGATACGTCCTTCCTTCCATTCTTTTGTTTTTTCCTATCGCTACCATCTCCTCCACAGAATGTAATTTTAGTAAGCATTGTAACTTAGTTTCGTTTGACATTGTATTCCCAGCACCTAGAATGCAACTGGGCACTGAAAAAGCAGCCAGTAAGTCATTTACACATCTTGGAAATTCTGGTCAAGAATTCTTGGCATCTTTTTCCACTCCTTCCCCTCATTCATTGTGTTTCCCTTGGCCGGTCTCGTCTCTGTGATTCACTTCCATGCTGAAAGCTTGTGCTGGCCTCTGCAGATCCACTCTTGCTGTGCCAGGCACTTTTCTAGATGCTTGAGGTACACGGGCTTGTGTACCCTTCCCGGTGATCCTGGGGGGTGCATCACGCTTCACAGGTGGACACTGAGGAACACAGTCGTTAGGTTGTTTCCCTAAGCCTTGAAGCTGTTAAGTGCTTATAAAAAATGGTCACTTTGCGCCTTTATTCATCCTGGCTCTTAATTGTTCCTCTCTCCCTGCTGCTTACTGACACCCTCATCTTCCAGGGTCTATCTTAGACACTTAGGTCTGTGCTGCAGTTCTCTGTGGTCATTCTAGCCAGCACTGTTTCTATTTCATTTTTTTATTCCATCTTAAGAGTTGAATAAAATAAATATTCATTTTTTTATTGCATCTGGAATTAGTACCACATGATTTGTGCCTAAACTTATTCCCCAGCCTGATTATCAAGTAATCTCTTATAATGAAGAACCATCTTTAAGGATTTGGTTCTCGTTCCCATCCCACATAAGGTAATGTTTAGACTATAGTGTTGAAGCTTGTATTTGTAATACATAGAATCCCACAATGTCATTGGACAATATAATCAACTGTTGTTCTCTGGGCCTAACAGAACTTGTGTGATGCATTGGCCTAAGACTGTGTCTAGCTACATACTTGCTCAATAATATTTGTGAGATGATTTGAATTTTTAAAAAACTTTAATTGATTCTTATTTCCTTATTAAGAACCAATAAAATATGAGTACTTTTAATTCTGTAAGTAAAGGAAAATCTCTTATAGAGAAGCAGAAAAGATGAGTTACATATAGTCATCTCAGTATTTAAATACTTGCTAAAAGAAACACAGAATGATCAGGGTTTTACTTTGGGTTGGAGAGTAATTATAATGTATTCTTGAAATAGTCAAATAGTTGGGCGGCAGGAACCCAAACCATGACAAATGGCTTCTCTATGAAATGTTCCAGAGTAACAGTTTTAAGTTCCCCCACAGAGTCAAGTACACTGAAAAACACTTCCGAGCTACAGTGCTTATTCTGTAGTAATAAGTAGACCTTTACTTTTCTGGGTTAGTTGTGGCTGTCGTTAGAAACATCAGCTGTCTGCTGTAGAGGGTCTGCTAAGCTCATCTTCACCTTGTTACCCCTGTTCTTGCTTGTGCTGAGAACACTGTTCTCAATGTCGTCTTCCCACAGCAGCAGTGATGTCTGTCTGTCAGCATCACATACTTGTGCAACTGGGTTACGTTCAGAATAACAGTAATCATGGAAACTGTGTGTGGCAACACCATCTGATGGAGCAGAAAGCTGTCTTCAGTTTTGTCTTCGAGGTTACTTTGAAATCTAACTCTTCTATTTCTCAGATGTAAGGCTGTAGTCAAAAGCGATACAGAACTTTGTTTCCAAATTTATGCAATATTTACATGTCCCCAGCCTGACTTTTTACATATGATCTGGCTTCAGATGGCTTTGGCACAAGTTTCTTGATTGAGAAAAGAAAGAAGAGCAAGGTCTGAAGTGCAGATAGACCGTACATCCATTCACTCATCACAGAAGTATTTGAGTGTCTGTTAACAAGCCTTGTGATTAACAATAGAGCCATGGTGAGACAGAACCCTTTAGGAACATATAATTATAAGCATGATAGGTGCTATAAAGAAAACAGTCACCCAGGTATGATGGCACACACTTGTAATCCCAGCACTTAGGAGGCTGAGGCAAGAGGATCGCTTCAAGTTCAGGCCAGCCTTATGTACACAGAGAGATCCCATCTCAAAAACAAAGACAGAGCCAACAAACAGATATGTTACTAATGGGGTAGACTTAGGGATGTCCTTTCCATTAATCTGAAGGCTGATGATGTAGCCAGGGTAAAAGAACCAGGGGACGTACAAGAAAGCTGATAAACTGCATGTTTTTGTTCAACAACTGCATGGTGCTAAAAACTGACACTATAAATTGTAATTCTTACGGCTTTTGCCAGCAACATTTCTCAGGTTTATTGCTCAGCTCCCTGTCAAGATCAGTTCCCAGTGACTGATCCCAGTGAGTACAGTTTACAGTTTAGCCATTTCTTCCTCATTGCAAACACAGGATATCACGCTATTTTATTTCTTTGTTTCTTTAGCGCCTACTAACAAGTGCTTTGAACTTCAGAGGCAAATGACTAAAAAATACAAATCAAAAAAAGCAAGTTATATTTAGTAGGATATTTTCCACTATAAGCATTAGAAAATTCAATTACAAGTATATGTGTGGCTTACTAAAGTGAAACTCACCCATCTCTACACCGCTGAAATCCCCACCCAGGTTTCCCAGGTCCACCCTGCTGCTCTCTGCTCTCTAAACTTGACTAGTACCCTGAACTTCCGAGTTAATCATTCTTTTATTTCTGTGTATGTATGTTTCCCTAAGTTTGTTAATCAAACTTTGATTTGTGTCAGTATCACCTGCCATGTGATATGCCAGCCCAGGTACAAATCTGCAACTGGTGACTCCTCGGGATCACGCTTTTGCTGTTGGTCCACACGCTTTGAGAACGACTGCCACTACTAGTGCAATAGACTAGCTTTTGCCTACTTTAAAAGAAATATTACATGTATTGTTTTGTGCTTTGCCCTTTTATAATCTAAAATTCTGTTTTTGAAATTCAGCTTCCTGGATATGGGAGCAAGCATCACTCGTCTCACACTGTGCAGGCTTCCATTTCTCATTAATCTCACTGGTCTCTGAGGGAAAAGAACGAGAAACCAGGAGCAGCTTGTTCAGGGCGCTAGCGAAAGTAATCCCACCACCTGTAGGGGTGGAGCACTCGTGACAGGCAGCTCACACAGTTCAGGGCATTGTTGCTGCCCTTGGGAGGAACAGTCCTGGGATCTCACCCAGCGTACTGCAGAAGTTTAGGAAGCTCGCAGGTTTCCAGACCTGCAGATCTCCCAGAGCCTCTAGTGTCAAAAAGATCTCATTTTAAATCAGACACTGGCTTACTGCAGTCAGAAGGGATGTAGAAGGGAGTGGGAAGGAAGGGAAGACAGCTTTAACACATGGAGAACAACCCTAATGTGAAAACCCAACATCTGAAATGCTCCAGAACCTAAAACATTTTGATCAACACACTGCCACAAGTGGAAAACTTCACACTGAACTTCATGTAGTGGGTCACAGTCAAAATGCAGGTACATCAAAAATACTGTATAAAATTACCTTCAGGTTATGATAGGGTTCTATATGAAACAAACAAATTTCATGTTTACACATGGGTTCCGTCCCTCAGATCTCATTATGTACATGGAAATACACCAAACTCCAAACCCATTTGGTCCCAAGCATTTTGGGTATTGATGTTCTTAGTCTTTTAGAATAGGGTAGCCACTGTTGTTGAATAAAGCCGATTGTGAAGGACCAGAAAATTGAATAAAAGTATAAAAGAAATATGTCCTCTTTGAAATCCTCGTGACATTTATCTATGGTAAATATTTTTATACCTGTTTTGTAAGAGATTTTAAGAAATTGCCAAAGCGCACAAGTCTAACACAAGATAGAGTGAGATTTTAAACCTAAGTGTGACTACAAGTCACATCACTTTTCACTTGGCACTGCTGTGTCCCTGGCTACAGTGTAGGGCTATGGTTTACTTCCCCACCTGTTTGAACCTTTTTAGAAAACTGGTTCTAGTTCATCTTTCTGGAATTGCTGAAACCAGATTTGATGGTTCTTTCCATTAGTTGTAATAGATGCAGCATTAAGAGAAAAAAACAAAAAAGTGAGAATGACATGTTAATACATGCACTGTCTCTGTTGGTCTTAGATGTTTGATTTGGATTTATATGCCTGACAAACTGACGGTACTACCTCATGCTTTTTGTCCTGCAGGGGATTTCCAAAGAAGGCCAGTAGAACTGCTAGAATAGCTTCTGATGAGGAGATCCAAGGCACAAAAGATGCTGTCATTCAAGACCTGGAACGAAAACTTCGCTTCAAGGAGGACCTCCTGAACAATGGCCAGCCGGTACTGAGACAGACGGGGGCCTGGGCTTGGAATATCAGCTTCCCACACCAGAGCTCTCTTACCTGAGTTAACTGAGACTCAGACTCTTGAGATTTTGTCCACCAAATTATTCCATTACCCCAGAATCTCAGCGAGTTGGGGAAAAAGGTAGAAAGAAGGGCAGATTTTAGGATTGAGAGTATAGTGAATGATGACCGCATTGTCAAGAAAAGAAACACAGGTATATGAATGGAGAAGGAGAAAGGAAGTATGCCATGGAACTTTTCTGTACCCAAAATCAGTGAATCAAGTTTCCAAAGGAGAATTTTGATTCGATAGCATATGCTGCTTCTGTCCCAAAATACCTTTGCTTAGAGAACCATTGTGGAGTCCTGTCCTGCCAGACAATGACAAGAAACTGGTTCAGTAATCTAAAAAGGTAACGCCTATGCCACACTCTTGCAGCTTGTCAGAGCACGAGCATTAAACTTGAAAAAAATTATGCTTTAACACTGCAGAATTTGTAGAGTACATACATAAATCTGGTGGAAGATATACATGATCTTTCCTCACTGAATTTACATGTTTCTTCATCAGCTTTTATATTTTTTTCTGGCTCTTAGCACATTAGAATATTTTAAGAAAATGGGAAAAGCAAATCTAGCAAGTAACACTTACCAGGCAAAGGAGCAGAATCTTTCATAGCTGTATCGTGGAACACTGCCAGAAAAGTCTGCTTGGCTCTTAAGCAAAACTAGAGAAGTGTTCAATGCTTTCCTTTTTTGTTTTAGTTTTAATATATGAAGACTCTTCTTATAAAAATGGCCCCTTAGTTACCTTTTTTCAAAACAGAAAGGTTTCTTTACAAATTATTCTTCTAGGAATTTTAATTATCAAACATTGATAATACTATGAAAACAGATGATGTTGAATTGGAAAGGTGATGAATAGAAGTGGGATACTAAATGCTAATTTTAATTACTGGGGCATCGAAATCTCATTTAAGGAGATTGAAATTTGAGTGAGTTTTGTGTTACTCACTTCACTGGGTATAGGAGATCTTCCTAAAGGAAAATGTTTTCTCCCTGAAATAAGTGATTGCATGTGTAATGTACACACTCTGGAAGTTTTCCCTGGCTCTGTCAACTAGAGCTTTGAAAGATTAAAACAAATACATAAGGGAACTTTCAAGCCAGGTGGAGGCATCTCTCCAGTTTTTCTTTCCCACCTTCTTTTTAGTTATTGAAATGTTCCTTATGGACTAAGACTCTCATTACAAGGCTTCTATAAGCATTTATTGAAACATATTAAGTGTATTTATATGTGTTTGCATATCAGTGAGTGATGCTCACAGTAAGTTTCATAGATTTCCACATTTAAGAGCTTAGACAAGAAAAGTTAAGTTTTCTTTTTTATAAAATGCGGTCTTCAAAAAACTTTTTCCTATTGTTGCTATTAATCTGTTACTTTTGTAACAGGGCTTGTATTTTCACATGGCGTACTGCTTTAGAAACAAATTTGTGAATAAAAATTAAAATTCAATAAAAAATAAATCAAATAACTTTTCTGCACCACAGAAAAGAAATCCATGAAGTAAATCTGGCTTCTAATGGCAGCAGGTGCCCTGTGATGCAGGAACACAAGCAGGTGGATGTTCCTGCTTGTGTGAACAGAGGGGTGTTTACTCTGGCATCCCCTCCACGGGAACGTCAGGAATGCTTTTTAGGAGAGCAAGTGCTTAAAACGGAATTCATTCATTTTAAAAATAGATCCGAGTAAACTGCACATTAGCATCCTGGATTAAAATCACTCCATACACCACCCAGAACTTATCTCTGCCTCGTCCTATCCCTCACCCTTTCTTTACTAAATGAAATAATTTGAACTTTATGACTACTTGGCACTTGATTTGTTTCACTTCTTGGTTTGAGCTGGGACTAAAACCAAAATTTACTGGAAATTATAAATGTATCAAACATTTTTTCCTGATTAGAAAATTTCTAATAGAATTTGCATCATAAGTTTGGAAGTTAATCTTAAATAACTTTTACACTTTTTTCCTAGATTCTGCATTATTAATTTTTCCATATTTCTCATTAAACCCCCCATTTGTAAAATGACCCTGATTGGGCAGGTGTTCTCTGAAAGTTCTTTCCAGATCTGAAATTTTAAGCCCCTTTAGAACTAACTAACACTTAAATACAAAAGTTACCCAACCAACAGAACAACATGTAGGTGTTTCTGATGAGTAAGAATGGCCTAGCAAAATGGTTTTGGCAGACTTCAGAGTGCTGTTTCCTAGATGCAAACACACTACCCTTTTCTTCCTGATGGGCAAGCAGCTTGCTTGTGAGTCATGAATTATGGATGCCGGGTTCGGCGGGATCCTCAGACTCTTTCTAAGTCAGCCATGGGTACAGTCTTTGTGGATCTTAATCTCTGCCGCTCTTCACTTGTAGTACACAGTATCTTAGGAACCGCTCCCCCACAAAAAAGCAGACAGGACCACTTCTGTCAGTTGGTCTAATACTTCCATTTCCTCATATTTATTGATCACATACTGTGTGCTAAACACAGTGTTAAGTGACTGGTAGGATTACTTTTGTCAATAATGCCTTTATTATCTTCTTACCAATCAATGTGTTCCCCTTTTGAGAAGCTCTCGGGTTTTTTTGTGTCAGTTGGTCTCAAAGGAGCTGACTTCACTGTTCCAAAGCATATGAATAGCTTTGAAAATAACCTTTCCTTTCATATTTTGCAGTCTGAATCTCTTCCCCTTTCTCGCCTGTTGATTTACGTGAAGGATAAGAACGAGACAGCTTCTGCCTTGTTACTTGTCTTTCACTTTAAATCTGTGCTGTGTCAGTTGGTGGCTCCGGGACTCACGGCATGTCCCAGGGCTGGTTAGGCCAGGAAGACCAGGAGGCAAACAGAAAAGCAGAATCGAAGCAAGGCAAAGACGCAGAGCCTGTACCCCTTTCACACACAGCTTAAATACTTACAGAAAGTATCCACACTCATTCTTTCACTCTTTCACAATGTGTAACTGTGCCTTGTTTCCTAACTGTGTGTGTTTTCTGTGGACTTCTGTGTTTAGAGGCTGACATATGAAGAAAGGATGGCTCGTCGACTGCTAGGTGCAGACAGTGCAACTGTCTTTAATACGCAGGATCCGGGGGAAGAAACACCTAACCAGGTACTGTGCTGCTCTGGACTTCTCAGAAAAACAGCTGTCATTCAGCCCCTTTTCCTCTTCCTCTCCTTGGACAGTGTTCTTGGGATTGGTTTTTTGAAAATTAAAGAGCAAGTCACAGGAAAACCATATTAATATCATCAGTCAACCTTATAGTTAATATTTATTGAGCAAATACTTTGTATAAGACACTAATAGAGTTTTTCCATCAGTAATACTTGTTCTTTTATCTTATTGACTAGTTTACATTCCTGTCAGGGGTTTCTATTTTTCCTGTCCTATGCTTTAATACAAAATAGTTTTGTGTGGAGAACAATATTTTCACTGTCATTGTTTGAAATAAGCTAGTAAATAGTTCCTGTTATACTTTTAATAGCTAGCCAAAGTAAAATATCTGTATGGAGAAAAGATTGTCTTTATCTTCCTTCACATGTTCAGTTATAAAGCACTAATCAGCAAAAGACTAAAATGCTATATTCCCCTCTTTTAAAAAATCACTTCATAGAGCTGATGTGTGCTGCCTTATAATGTCTTACCGCCTCTGGAGTTTCCAGATGTATTCTCAAGCTTAAAAACAAAAATTTTTATAATAAGTATAAAGGGCCAAGTAAATTCTTTTCCTTGTCTATTGAGAAATGGGTCTTCCTTCTAACTCTAAAGGTTTCTCTGTGTTAAATATTAATACCACAAAGGTTTCACGGAAAGAAAACTACAAGGCTGGCTAGACTTAGGATTTCCGTTACTGCCCTTCACCTCTTTTTTTCTGCCTTTGCAGGCTTCTCCTCATGCTTCTCTAGGGAGTCCTCTGGATGGTCAAAAGGTCAAACTTCTCCTTTCTTCTGTTTCAAGTCTTTGCCTGTGTCTGCTTTTGCATTGTTTTTTCCTGTTCATTCTTATGTGTGTCCCCCTGTACTGCCCTATATCATAAATGCTATAACCACTGACAGTTTTTGTTTACTATCAGTTGAGCAAAGTTACTATAATTTTTTTGTCATTTAATTAGAGACTTCAGTTTAGTACTGACTTTAGTGGATATTCTGAACTTTCATTTTTTTGTGTGATACTGAGATTTGACTTCACACTCAGCTTTATCCCCAGCCCTCTTTACTTTTTTTATTTGAGACAAGTTCTCGCTAAGTTGTCTAGACCAGGTTCGAACTCAATGCTAAAGCGTAAGAGATGAATTTGATAGTAATTAGAACGAAGCAAACTCATACTGTATTGCTAACAGTTTTATTCATACCATTGTATTTCTCCCTTCAAATAAACACATTGTTTTTTAAAGTATAATTTCTTTAAGAGAAAACTAGTTGAGGGCCAGGGGTTTAGTTTAGTACCATAAGCATAGTTTAATAGCACAAGCGTGCCCTGGCAGGCACGAGGTCATGAGTTTGATCCCCAACACCAAAAAAAAAAGAGTGAAAACTAGTTGAAATGATCTCCTATTTAACATTCAATAGGGAATATAACAGCCTTCCCGTGTTCACTACATGTGTAGGACCCACTTTAAACACTACAGGATGTTGATAACAGTCTTGGTTTGGCTTTTATAATTCTAACCAAACTTTTGACTAGAGACTCTGGCCTGTTCTGCTTTTAAAGCGGTGGATCCCTAAGAGCCGCAGATCTAAGGAGGGGCCTCTAGGAGACAGGGGCTTGTTATGGCTAAAAAAAACAGTGGTGCCATATTTTCCATCATTCATGTGATAAAATGCTGTGTAAGACTGCAGCTGCCGGCCACGTGTGTGTCAGCCTTCTGGAGAGGGCCCACCCTGCCCAGCCTTTACCCTCCAGAAGGAAGACAGCGTTCCTCTGGCTTTTATTTTCATGAACAGATCAGGAATACGCTGCCTTTGCTTCTTTCTTTCCTTCACCCCTCCAGCCCCCTCCTAAGGGGGGGGACTCATCTTTTTAGACTTGGGGGGGGCATAAAAGGACTTTGAGACAATTTGAAATATCGTATATAGTCACTTCCAGATGTAGGACTGAACTGGGCTCAGACTGTTTTTAAGCTTGATGGTGAGCGCACCACTGTCTTTTCAGTGCCTTACTGGTCAGAGGAGTAAGACGCAGTGACTGTTCTACACGGAGTGAGAATGCTCACTGGAACTTTCCCTGTTTGCAGGAATACAAAGTCTCCAGCTGTGAACAGAGACTCATCAGTGAAATCGAGTACAGGCTAGAGAGGTCCCCTGTGGATGAGTCAGGGGACGACCTTCAGTACGGGGACGGGCCTGTGGAAGGCGGAGTGGCGCCCTTCTTTGAGATGAAGCTGAAACATTATAAGATCTTTGAGGGAATGCCTGTAACCTTCACGTGTAGAGTGGCTGGGAATCCAAAGCCTAAGGTAAACTGAAAATGTGGTACTTTAAAGAGTTTTCTTTGTCTGTTTTCCATGGCTATATCAAAATACTGTGTAATTTATAAAGGAAGAAGTTTGTTTGGCTCATGGTTCTGGAGGCTGGGAAGCCCACGAGCATGGCATAAGCAAGGGCACGGTGCCCCTTCCACTCAAGGCAGAAAGCAAAAATGTATCACATGGCAAGACAAAGCAAGGGTGTAAGAGCTCACTTTTATGCTAGAACCGCATTAGCCATTAAAATCCATGAATGGATGAATCCACTAATGAGACACAGTTCTCAGTCACCTCCCAGAGGTCTCACATCCTAACTGTTTTGGGGACCAAGTTTCCAGCAAATGAACTTCAGGGTCACACCAAAACTACAGCAAAAATCATATTTTTTAAGGAAGAGTTGGGTTCTAGAAGGTAGCAGATATGCAGAAAGAAGAGATATGAACCATCTCTCTTAGTACTCAGGATGTAAAATTTTTAAAGTGCTCTTAGGTTCAAGGCCACCTGAAGGAGACATTAGAAACAACAAGGCTGGGTGTAGCTCAGTGGTAGTGTGCCCACTTCACATGCTCAAGGCTATGGGTTCAAATCCCAGGGAGGAATACAGGGAGAAAGAAAGAAACCAAAAAGAGGTAAAGGCTAAGGGGTATGGAGTTAAGGTTTAAAGAATACAATGGAACACAGACTAGTGATTGACAAGGAATTCTTCACACACTTCCATTATCTACCCCTGGTTACTGCTTTCCAATTGCAAATGCCTAGAGTTCTGTGGGATTAATTTCTCCAGATCAGAGCTGTAAATGACCAGGCTTGGATATGAACTCACTGGTCTGTACCACACAAAGAAGTAATGTTCACCACTGGGTGATAAAACTTCAGATCTGTAGTCTACAAAACCAAGGCTTCCTATATTTGCTAACAGGTAAATATTCAAATTATGTGAAAAAGATGATAAAAAACAGTTTTTTATAACAACAGTTTATTTTTAAAGTGGATATGAGTTTAAAATTTTAAGGCCATTTTCTTTGATCTGTTTTTCTCTGACTCAGTGGTTGGAATTTAGTTTTTAAAACTAACCTGATCGTCGGCAGAGCATGGTGGCACTGCTTATAGTACTAGCACTCAGGAGGCAGAGGCAGGAGGGTCACTGTGAGTTTGTAAGGCCAGCCTGAACTGCATAGTGAAACTCTGTCTCAAAAAGATTATATATATATATATATATATATATATATATATATATATATATATATAAAATATAAATATATATATATATATATATAAAATATAAATATATATATATAGCTATAGGAATTAGAACCTGCAAGTGTTATGTATTATAATATTCCCTTCCCCTCTTTCATTTTGTTATAGTCACTTTTTTATATCACTGTTAATCTTATAATTTTAGTAAGTGTATTTCTTATTTTATACACTTTTCCAAAGTTGCATTTTTATACTGTCCTGTCATTATAGATTTTATACCTTTAACAGTTCAGTTGTTTGAAATAGTTACATTAGAGTCTCTTAAAATTGTTCAGTATGTATAATATTTGGGCCTCTATTTTTCTCTTTCTTGTACTACAGACTGTCCTTGTTTATTTCCTCATATGGTTTGTTTTTTATTGAACTAATGCATGGTAGCATTTCCTACCTGTGAAAGTGTTCTGTGTGGAAACATTTTGTATGCTTCTGAAAAGAAGCTAAGGACTTTAATCAACCAGAACCAAATTTCCTACTCATTTTTCTGTTTTCGGCTCAATATCATGAACTAATATAAACGTGGGTTTGCAACTTCTCACCTTTTCTATTCTTTTCACTTAAATGGGGGGAATGTAGTCCTGCATATTGCTTTGCTGAGCTAGGGCATAGCCCTATCCAGGTCAGCCTCATACAGTGGTGGCAAACCTATGGCACGCATGCCACAGCAGGCTGTTTGTATCATGGAAAGCTCGAAAAGGTTCCCCGTCACTGGCTAATCCTTCTGAGTATCAGAAGTTTTGAAAATGGTATTTTCAAATACGAAGTTTTCTAAATGGTTTTTTCAAATACCGTTTAGAAGTTTCCTAAACGGTATTTTGCTTTTCAATAATACTGTTTTCTTTAATATAAAGGGGAAGCTGACAGGCTTTCAGCCTTTGATCGTAAACTTTTTGGTCCAGAACTAAGGCAGTTTCAATCATCAACCTTTAATTGTTCCCGCCCTCCAGGCAACATTATTTTTCAATTCATGTAACACAATTCAGTGGAATGATTATAGTTTTGTGTTTTTTCCTCTAAAACAACCTTTTTACCTTTTCCTTAAAAGTAACACATTTTAATTACCAATACATTTTTAAAAAATGTCTGTAATGCTACTTCATAGAAATAATCACTGCCAAAATTCCCTACATATCCCTTCATATAAGTAATAAATAAGTGTAAATACCATATTTTTAAAAATAAAAAGATACATGTATATTTCACATATATATTTTTTAAAACAAAGTGATATATGACTTTTTAAAACTTAAAACGAATTAAACTCATTTGCTATCTGCTTTCTTTTTTACTCAAATCAATTTTCTATTCAGGTGTTTAACATTTTAACATGAAAACTCAGATCATCTCATCAGACCACACTATTGTTATCAGTCCTCCTCCTAGAGGAAGAGTACCATTTTAATCTTTAACCCTCATTTCCTTCTACAGATCTATTGGTTTAAGGATGGGAAGCAGATCTCTCCAAAGAGTGATCACTACATCTTTCAAAGAGACCTTGATGGGACCTGCTCTCTCCATACCGCAGCCTCTACCCTAGAGGATGATGGGAATTACACGATCATGGCTGCCAACCCTCAGGTGAAGAAGGGCAGAGGGCTGGGCTCTCTTCTGTGTGCAGTGTGTACAGGCATTTGATCACACAGAGAAACTAATTAAAAGGTGAAGTTGACTTCTTTCACTTATAAAGCTATTTTTCCAAATTCTTTATCCATCTTGCTTTCAGAGGATATAAAAATCTATATTTTAACATTTTTTATTAATTACTTTTTGTACATATTTCATGAACATTTATTTTTTCCATCAGGCGTTCTTCTTGGGGAATGATGGCTGTGCAGATGTGCATTCCTCCCATAGGCATTTAGGTCTCCTGTGTACGTTTCTGATGGAGGTTCTGGAGTGGCAAGGGTGGGCAGGACAATCTTGAGGTAGAAATTAAGCCAGTGAACAAGTTAATAAATCACATAATTCTAGTAGGATTAGATTCTATGAAGAAAATAAGGAAGAAAGGATATTGAGTTGCATATGTATGGGGTATAGTGGAAAAACTAACAAAATTAAGTATGTAAGAAATACATAAAAACATTATTGGCCCAGAATTAAAGCAACAGAATTCCACCTTTACCAGAATAATTATAATTTTGATAGTATCAATCAATGCTTAGTATTCATCAGTATCAAACACAGTTTGGGAGGCTTTGTTTGTTTGTTTGTTTGTTTGTGATGGGGTCACATAGTGTGGCCTAAGCTAGACTCAAACTGCTGGGCTCAAGTGATCCTCCTGCTTTATCCTCCAGAAAGGCTGTGACTATAGGCATGCAATACCATGACCAGTTCAAAATTTTGTCTTGTGTTTGTCCTTAGATTTAGGATCAAAAATAACAACTTTTTTAGACTTTGAAAGAAGGCTTTCCCAAATGATGTTCCCAAACGAAACTTGCACATTCTCTCCTGTTATGTATCTTAGGTGTATTGGACCAATGCCAGGTACAGGATACACAATGAGTGAGAAGCAATTTTGTGCCTTAAGAGCTCAGCGTGTAACTGCAGAAGCTGTCTCATCATATACTTTTTTTTTTTTTTTATCGGTACCGGAGATCGAACTCATGACCACCTGCTTGCAAGGCAGGCGCTTATGCTGCTGAACTAAATCCCCAGCCCTTATACTTCTTTTTTGAAAGCTAAGAGTATGGGGCCGAGGATTTAGCTCAATGGCACAAGCGCCTGCCTTGCAAGCGTGCAGTCGTGAGTTTGATCCCCAGCACAAAAAAAGAAAATAAAAGAAAGCTAAGACTAACAATTTTATAATCCAATGAAGATTGTCCAGAGGTCATCTTTTTAAACCTTCTAGACCTATTTATATTATTCTATATTTTGTTATTTCTTTCACTGAAAATACTGTTAGAAAGTGATACAACAAAGTTGTTAAAAGAAAAATGATATAAGTGTAACAAAACTTACAAGCTTTTAAAAGTTTGCACAAGGCTTATCCTGATTTAATATTCCATTGTCATAAACAGTTTTTTCCACTAATATTAATAGAATGAAACTCAAATTATCCATGTAATCACATTACAACAAGAGCACAGCACACTCTTTACTGTCAATGAAAAGTTTCCATGTTAATGCACCTTGTTGAGTTTGTAATTTTGTAACCAATGAATACATGATCATTGTCCTGAAATTAGTCCAAATTATCTCTATTACCAAGTTACATTTTACACTTATATCTATTTTTTATGTAATTCAAGGAAAGAAAAATAATTGCTTTCATTTACTAGTATTTTCAACATGTTTCTATGACTTTTAATAAAGTGCAGTTTTCTGCTGCTAAAAAAAAAAAAAAAGTGAAGGGTTAGGTACAAACCTAAAACCCAGTTCTCAGGAGACTCATGCAGGAGGGCTGAGCAACTCAGCGAGACTGTCTCCAAAGAAAACTGGAAAGGACTGGGGATGCGGCGCAGTGTAGAGCACGGGCAGGCAGAAAGCCTGAGTTAGATGTCCAGCACCACAGCAGCAGCAACGGCAGCAAAGAGGAGAACACAACAAAATCCAGAAATCTTTGCTGTCTTATTTTTCTCTCTGACAAGGGTAAGATTTATTATGAGGATAGAATTGTCAGTGTTTCTTAAGTACTTGCCAGAACTGAGTTCCTGGTGAATTTCGAGGCATTTTTTTTCCCAGCATGTTTTAAATTGTTATTGGAATGAGCCACTTTGCAGAACAAAAGAATATGTATAAACTGCAAGTAGGAATCTGGTTCTTTCCTTATTCAAATAATACTAATGTATTTGCACATACGGGGAAACTCTAAAGGAGGAAGAACTCAGTTTACTCATTGCTGGTAGAGGGTGGCAGTGAGTAAAGTTAAGAGGTCAGTGCAGCCTCAAGGGTCAGTATTGTCCGAGCACTTAACCTCTTCTAACAAACTATAATGGAGTCACTTGATAAACAGGGTCTCCCAAGGATCCCCCTTGGATTGGTCCACAGTGTGTGTGTGTGTGTGTGTGTGTGTGTGTGTGTGTACTCGTATGTGTCAATTAAAATAAAATTAAAGTCAATATATTCTTACCCACATTTCTGTGTATGATCCTCCCTCCCCAACGAAAGAAGATCCTTTTGTAAACATTGGAAAAGAAGGAAAGGAAATTGACAGACAGACAGAAAAAAAGAAAGACACATTAGGCAAGTATGAGTTGGATTCCAGTTCTGCCATCACTGCCTGTGTGACCTTTAGCAAGTCCCTTTAGCTCTCTATGTCTGTTTGCTCTTCTAGAAAATAGAAATAATATGGATTTAAAGAGTACATGTAAAAAACATGTAGCTTACCTTGCACACTGTATACTTTTAACAGATGCTAGTTATTGGCTTTATTCTAATTCACCAAGACTGATTACCTCATTTTAGAACAGCAACCCCAAGACTTAAGCTGTGGAAACAAGATGCAGAGGGTCAGTTCTGTTCCCAGGTATTCCACTCCCACAGTACTGTGAGAGTAAGCAAGTCCACTCGGATGGAATGTCCACCCAGCATGTTGCTGGTGTGTGGTCTTCCGACCTCCTGGCTTTCCCCTTTTATCACCCCCATGGGAAAGGAGTTAGGCAGCAGATGTGGCTGTGCCACAACTGCCACAGCTGTGGGCTTGGGTGGAGGAAGCTGTGAGCTGGAGAATGGGCCACACCCATAGCACAGCTGACACCGGCCACACATGAAACTGGGAAGCTGCTCTTTGCTCGCAGCACCCTCCATGCCAAGAGAAGACCCCAGAGAAGTAGTCACTAGCTTACTCTAGGCCCCATAATTCTGCTTTACCAGATCTCAGGCAAGCCCCAGCCAGCGTGCCTCTTTAGTGTTTGCCCTCTATCCTTAGGGACCAGTTCACATCAGGGAGTCCGAAGCCCTGCCCTTCTAAAAGAATATCCCTCCCGTGGTTTAAGTAAATGGTGTAAGAATGTTCTGGGTTTCCCAGGAAGAGGAAGCAATTCAAACCCCCAGAAGTCACAATAATCATAGCGGCACCTAATGCCTTGAATTCCAGAGGCTTTTACATTCTGCATTTTAATTGAGAGGTGGTGCCAAGAGTCTGCTTTGTTATCCAAATAACCAAAAGAGTGAAATTCATAAAAAGAGGCAGAAGTAATCCTTAAAAGTGGGCATTCTATGGGCATGGTGGCACATGCCTATAATCCCAGCCCTCAGGAGGCTGAGGCAGGAGGATCCTTGAGAGTTCGAGACCAGCCTGGGCTACAGAGTGAGTTCAAGGCCAGCCTAACCTCATAGCAAGATCCTGACTCAAAACAAAAAAGAGAAAAAAAGTGGACATTCAGCCTCAGAATATATAGCTGTGTATACCCAGTGAAATGGCTGTGATATTTATTCTGTTTGGTATTAACTGTGCCACTGAGCTATATCCCCCGCTGGTCCAAGTTTTTGAACATGTTGCCTTGTAGATTTTAACTTCAAAATTCTTTTATCCTTGGGGTCCTGAACATTAGGTATGGCCACATATACCAGATGTAGGATCGTGAATCACCATCTAACTGTTGGAATGAACTTTACTACTCATTTTAAAAAGGGAGGTGGGGGTACAACATTTAAACCAGGACAAGAGGCAGGCCACGTTTCTACCTGACCTTTGGTGCAAGTTACTTGTGGCTGTAGGAATGTTATTAAAGAAATGGTTAATGTGGTTATAATTTCAACCTTATGTTATTGAAGTATTGTGATATTCTTGTTATTTGTGAATTAAAACATGGTTTAAAAGAAGGTCATAAGCAAGCATTTTAAGAAAATCAAAACAGTTACATTCCAAGGTATATTAATCGCAAAAGCTCATAGTTGACAACCTTTGGTTTTCAGTCATGTTTGATGTCTATCAGTAACATTAAACTTTTTCAGATTTTAAAAGCACTTAGTTTTGAAAGGGAGATGACTGCATCTATTTTCCCTAATGCACTGCAGCCTATGCAACGTGAAAGGAACACGGGACAGAGGAAAAGCCGGGAGTGGAAAAATTAGTTCAGTAATGAAACACAGAAGGCAGAGCTTTCTTGAGCAGACGAAAATACAGAAAGCAGCCAAGAGAAGGGCGAGAACCAAGGAAAGAGGAAAACCCTGAAGTTCAGCACAATATTTCATAGAATGTCATATTTTTCCACCTGGGCTAATCCTTTGGGAAAAAGAACCGCATTAGATACTGTTGATCACATCCAGATTCTGCTTGGGATACAGTGCACAGCTCCAAATGTATACTGAAGTGGGGATCATCCTGCTGAGTGTGCACAGCTCAATTCATTAGAGACCCAAGTTGTCACATAGTTTAGCAAAATAATGAGTGACTGTGCAGTCATACTAAACATAATGCCAAAACGAGGATCACAGAAACAGTTTATTTTAGACTCTAATCCTATCTTTAGGACACAACTAAATCTAAACATAAATGTTTTACTTTTGTTTTGTTGTGTTGCTAAGTTACTTTGTATTGCACTTGGATTGTGGAATAGCTATTCTGCAGTTTGATATTTCTTCAAATTACATTATGTATACAAATGGCAAGCTTTATAAAGACCTGTGTGCCACAAGTTAAACTCATAAACTGTGAAATATAAATGTTATGTTCATATTACATGAATAGTAGGCCTTGCATGAGATATCAAATAATCTTTACAAGCTGGCCGTTTAAAGTAGAATCACTTTTAACAATTTGAACCTCTTATTTGTGCTATAGCTTTAAACTCTGTAGATCTGTCAGAACAGACAAAAAGTAACACAGCGCTAAATTAAATGCAGAAAAATTAACTTGTTGATTGTGTTTTGTTTTAGCATTGTATGATCTCGTAGCTTACTTCAAGCTTCACATTAAACACTGTTAATGTGATAAAAATGTCAAACTTATCTAACTTCCTAGTTTGGATACTTTCTAAATGCTCCTGATTATGTATTGATTAGTAATATATTTAGCCACTAAGTTAATATTAATCAAATTAATAATGCCTTCTGTCCTTATGTTCAGGAGTGAAGGCTGGTGTAGGAGTACATAGACTACAAATGGTAACATATTCCTTTTTCTTAAATTTGGAAGGTTAAGAAGACAGTCTACGTTAATATTTGTGTGTTTGGTTCTGAGCTGTAGCAATGAAAACCTTAAAAACAGTGTAGAATGAGCCGTATCTCCATAATAGTATGCAATCTGTCTACCCCGGTTTTTGTGTGTTTTGCTTGCTTGGGAAGCAAGAGAAGGCGGGTATAATCTCAGCACTGTCGGGGGGGTTAAAGGAAAGCATCTCCATCTCAGGCCTCCAGGGGCAGCGATCACACAGACAAGCCCAGGGAATATGACTGTACTGAGCAGAAGTTTAAAAAGTGATCTGCTTTCCACTTATTCTACCTTTCATATTGAGCATTTGTTTAGGGAATTCCAAGCGTTTGCCAAGAGCTCAGCATGAACAAATCTACGTCATAGGGCCTGAGCTTCAGATAAAATTAATCTAATTTAGAAATAATTCTCTTTCATAATGTTGTATTTACTTTTTTTTGGAAATTTTCAAGGAAGTTAGTATTTTAAGTGTGACCTCAACAGTAAATATTGTAAATGCTGGCAAGCATTGCATATCAGGTATAACATTAAATTGATTTCTTTGGTTACACCTCTTTGTATCTGGTAATTGTAAATTCTTCTCTGTTCTCTATAACTTTCTGTAAAGCCCCCTTTTCTGGCTGAATGTAGCCCAAAAGAAGCCTGGCCATTGGCAGACCTAAAACGGCCACTGACTGGATTCCTGCCCTTTATCAATCCTACTGCGAGGTGTGTCGATGTGCTATCCTACTCTGTCCCCTCCACCTGCGCTCACTCTCCTACTTCAGCAAACCTCAGCTGGAAAACAGCTTTTCAAAACACACTCCAAAGCAGTGTTCTCACCCCTACTTCTGTTAGCTTAGTCACTTGCAGTGAAAATAGCGGCTAATTATAAAATCTTTGAATTAAGTGTGTATAAGGGCTGTTTAACAAGTCTAATCATTAATGGTATATCTGCTCCATTTTCTTCTTTTTATGTTACTTGTTGTCAGCATTAAAATTTAGAAGTATATTTTCTCATTCTCTTGGAAGAAAAGATGAAAAATAGAGGGGAAAAATCTGTTTTGCTACTCCACTAGTAACTGTGAAAAAAATTAAAAGAGGGAGCTGAAATAAGCCAGAGCAACACATAGTGACTTATCTGTCATCTGGGTCCCCTAAGTATTATGTTTGTCTGTCCATACTGGCAAATGCCGAATTGGTAAATTTATAAGAGATAAAATGTAAACTCATTAGCTAGACCCTTGCCACATGACCACATAGTTTAGTATTTAAATGCTCCTGGTATTTAAATTTTACATATGTTCATTTCAGGAGAATATGGTGTTGTTTCGTTACGATATCCTCTTTGTTATCCCATGTGTATATTTCTTCTATAATCCTAATTTGTCAGTAGCCATCCCTTAACACATACTCTGAGGAAGGGGTATCACTAACATTTAATAAATATATTACTATAAACACCTAAGATAAAACTAAAATCACCTACCTTTGATTTCAGAATTGACCAACAGTAGTAAATATTTGACCATAGACATATAGAAATCAGAAAATTAGAAGCTGTAACAGCAGTAATGTGTATCAAGAGCTGACTGATTGGGATGATTACTAGGGTTAACTGGCATGTTAGTAGGACTAAAATCTTGTAGTGCTAGTTTTGTAGTAAATATTTGACCAGGAAGACAAGACAACATTGTCCTCCTGCTGTATTGTACAAGTCTACTTCATATTATAGGAGGCTTTAGCCAACTGCAGTTAATTCAGTGAGAGGTATCATTTTAAGTACCATCCTAAATAAAGCAGAACAGCTTATTTAACATTAAGAGAAAGATTTTTCTCACCTGACTTCTTTCAGTAAATAGAGTTTTACTGAGAGAATTCACTAAAGGAAGTTCCTCTCTGAGCAGGGTAGATGTTACTACAAATGGCACCCTGATTTGGTACGGAGTAGGACAGCAGACCCGATAGTTAACAGTTCTGCACAGCAAGTCATTTCTTCTCCTGGTGTCTCCCACAGGGCCGTGTCAGCTGTACAGGACGGCTGATGGTACAAGCTGTCAACCAGAGGGGCCGCAGTCCACGCTCTCCCTCAGGCCATCCACATGTCAGAAGGTATTTCAGATGTTCCTTGCATAAGTGTTACTACTTGTCTGTTTATCACTATAAATTCACTACTACTAGAATCATGGTATGCCCATAAATATAAGCATAAGTAGAAGGCAATGTAAATATAAATACCAACTTTAAAGTGTATGTTCTTTACTGTTCCCGTGTGTGGTTTAGAAAATGCAAGGGAACAAACATTTTCTTTATATGTACTGACCCTATTCAGATATACTGTTATTAGTTTGTTAAGTGGAACACATTTTATATGTGAAAAGTCAAACCAGGCACCTTTAGATGGCACATAAGCATGAAAACATAGTACACTGATACTCAAAATTCCAATTCTCCAACAGACTGTTATTAACGATGGCCACTAGATGTCTTAAAATCAGTTAGTTTATTAATGTATACTTTTCAGTCACATAATTCAGAACATAAGACCATTAGATCATAAATCTTATAGAACATTGTATCTTAAATGCTCAAACACGTACCTGCTAACTGTAGGAGTGTAATTTCCATTCCTAGTAGCCATAAGTCTATGAAAGAGTGATGACAGAATGATGGCAGGCAGGGAGAGAGGATGTTATTTCTTAGTAACACATTAGCACTTAAAAAAGAAAAAATCTGAATATGAAACCAGTCTGTCAAGCTGGGTTCCTACTTAGGTATTTTTCAGACAGAGCAGCATGAAATAGCCCTGACTACTTTACAGGCCACAGATGCACACTGCCTTTACTGAAGAGAAATACAAGGTCCCGGAGGATAAACAGAAAAACAGTAAACAACAAACAGTGTATCTGTGCTGCCTCATGTGACTAGATCCAGAGAGGCCTTTGGGTGATGACACCTAAGTGTGTGCAGATTTCACTCTACACTTATGGTGACAACTTCTATTCTCAGGACCCTAGACCTATGTCTGTGGCTATAAACACAACGTATTTAATATCATTCACTTTTACTTTTCTTACGGTCTGCAGTACATTTAAGCTTTTCCATATATCAGTGAGTCCTACAAAGCATTTTTGTCATACACTAGACCTGGATTTGGAGAAAAGTAATCTACGCTAAAACACTGATAATTAGTAAACTAACAGAACATTCTTTTTGTTCCATTTGTTCCATCCTTAGGGCCTTTTGTCTTCTAGTGATTATTGATAGAATTTGTATTCAGCATCATGCTCATTTCTGGTCTTCCCTACTATTACATTAAATTGGATTTCTCTGGCAGCACACTTAAAAGTAGAAGAAATGCACAAGATCTGAGAGATTTGCACAATCTTATTTTAAAGCAAGACACAGTGCCTTTGGGCATCTGGGTGACGAATGCAAAATGAAACTAGCCTAAAAATGTAATTTGTTTTCTGAGTATGAAAAGGCATTTTTATTTGAAACATATTAAGTTTTTATAAAATAAAAACTTCTAATTCCCTGCAAAATTAAAATCACAGGGTAAAGTTAATAGTAATTTCTATTGAAAAAGAATTAGTAACAAATGAATGAGCAAAAACTGGTCCTTTTGCTACCATAAGGCTTTAAAATATGTAAGACAAAAATATACTCATATGTAATAAACCCCACTTTTCCATTTCCAATAGTTTTCAGACTATTTATCATACACTTCTAAGTTAAATAAAATTTTGCTTTCCTGATTTTTTGTAAATCTAGGGGACAAATATTAGATAAAGAAATTGAATTATCCCCTTATATTATAAGAAAACATGGCTAAAATCCTGGAAATAACTACTACCTATCTATATTTTCATCTGTCTATCATATTCTGTTTTAAGGCCTCGCTCTAGATCAAGGGACAGTACAGATGAAAATGAACCAATTCAAGAGCGATTCTTCAGACCTCACTTCTTGCAGGCTCCCGGAGATCTGACTGTTCAAGAAGGAAAACTCTGCAGAATGGATTGCAAAGTAAGAGTTTATTATTATTGCTGCAAAATTATTGCTTCTCCCCTCACTGCCATTTCTGGGTATATTTCCTGTTGGGAAAAATTATGTGTAAATTATAAGCTGATTCCAGCTCAACAAAGAAAAAGAGTGAACTATATGAGTATTTACATGCTGTTTCTCATCATTCTTCTTTTTACTATTAAATATGTTTTTTATTCCAAACTCTGCATATTCATATTCCAGAAAGTCATTCGAAATTTTTCATGTTGCTGAATCATTAGGTGATCTTTATTCTTTTTACATACAAGGGCTGTATCTGTGAAATCCTTCTTTTACCTGTCTTACCAGAGGGCTTCTTAACCCAAGGTCATCAGCTAGGCAGTCTTTACTAGGTGTGTGGACACTGAAATTATATACAAAATTGTATGTGTTTAATAGTCTCTCAAAGGAATTTGAGATGAAAATACTTAAAGACTATTTCTCTGAAAGGTTTTTTTGTTCCTGCTTGTCTTTTGTGTGTGTGTTCTTTTGTTTGTTTTGTTTTTTTGCCCTACTACTTATATAAAGTTTAGCTCCTAAATATGGATATTTTAAAAAAATAATTTGGGCTCCCTCTGCTGGTTCTCTCTGAGATTGCAGAACACAAATATGTATAAGTGGGTTAGGGATGTAGATATTTGCTTTTTTAAAAAGTAAATCTGGGGTTCTGGGAACATATAGAAAATATTCTTTTTTTTTTTTTATCAGAACTGGGGATCGAACTCACGGATGTGCACTTGCAAGGCAGGCGCTTATGCCACTGAGCTAAATCCCCAGCCCCAGAAAATATTCTTTAAAATATTTTATTTTCAAACATAGTTTATTCTACACTGTAAATAAATTGAGTTTCAATATATGTATTCACTTCCTTTTTTTGCGTCTAATTAAAAATTCATTCATGAGAACTCTGTGTACAGTCCAGCAGTCCCATTCCTGGGGATTTATCCAAAGGAACTGAAATCAGTGTGTCGGAGATATCTACTCTCCGTGTTCCTAACAACATTATCCACGAAAACCTAGATGTCCACCAACATCTGAATGGATAAAGAAGATATAGGTACAATGGAATACTATGTTGCCTTTAGAAAGAAATTCAGTGTTTGTGACAGCATGGATGGCACTGGGGAACATTATGTCAAATGAAATAATCCAGGTACACAAAGGCAAACACTGCATGTCTCCTTTTAAAAAGCTGAACTGGTAAAATCAGAGAGAAAAATAGTAGTTACTGAGGGCCAAAGGGAAGGGAACTGGGGAGATGTTCATCAAACAGTACAAAATTTTAGACAGGAGAAGGAAGTTCAAGGGATGGCTTATATAACATTATGAGTAGAATTAATAACTGTATATCTGAAAGCTGCTAAGAGAGCAGATCTGTGTTCCTACCACAAAAACTATAAGCATGTGAGGTGATGAATATGTTAATTAGTTCAATTTAACCTTTCTACAGTGTATACATTTTTTAAAACATCATGTTGTATAAAATATAAATTAGCCAGGCATGGTGGCACATGCCTGTAATTCTAGCACTTGGGAGGCTGAGGCAGGAGGATCACTGGAGAATTGAAGGCCAGCCTGGGCTACATAGTGAGTTCAAGGCCAGTCTGAACTGCATACCAAAACCCTGTCTCAAAAACGCAAAAAAATAAAATAAAATAAAATAAAAAATTAACATCGCTTAATTTTTTAAAAGTATATTTTAAAAAATTTAAAGAATTGATAAAGACCATTTATAACCAGAAAATTTTTATTTTAGATAGATTATTAGATGATACTAAGGAGTATTGTTAATTTCACACATAAAAATAGAATTTTGACTAAAAAACTCAATTGTTCTTTGAGCTACATTGGAGTAAAATTACAGAAAGTGTTGGATTTATTTTAAAATAAAAAACTATGATAGTGGATCTCAACAATAAAGACTGTTGTATCTATTTTTTATTATATTTAAGACAAATCATAAGGATTTATTTCAGTGCACAGTGACATAAATTATGCCCCTGAACACTGCCTTTAAAAGAATAGCTGGGGACAAAAGGAATCTCCACTCTACTTCACTCTGATGATCTCACCCAGATAAAGAAAGTATGAATATCTTGGCACATGGATAGGGCCTTCCTGCTTCAGAAAAAAGCTCCGAATGTATTTAATCTTTGAGAAAGAAAAACGTCTTGAGAAGGCCAACAAGCAACAGCTTGTTTTCCTCCAAAAAGTACCTTCCCACCCCCAGCCCATGGGTACATTCCCAGACACCACTTTTACTTGGTAGTAAATCTTAGGGAGAATAACTCTTCCCACCTCTCTAGCACAAAGTATACTCTCCCCCCCTCCCCCACTTCTGTGTGTACCCCGAGCATAGACGTGTTCAAATGGTGACTTGCTTTCAGTGCCCTTGCGCTCCAGAGATCATGCTGTGTTCACTTACTCACTCAGGGGAGTGGGGTTAGACAAAGGAGACATTTTCTTTCGTCTGATGATGAGTAACACTATCCTGGACAGATCCTCTGAATTAGGTGGTTTAGAGTACAGGCTCTGGGCAGCTCACCTACTAAATGAAACTGGTGTCCCTCCGTCAGTCTGCCGATGGCCCCCCAGCCCAGGATCTAACCTAGCCGAATGGGAACAAGCATCGCCACTGTATTTCCAAACTTGGGGAAGACCTGGAGCTACACCCAAAGTGCCTGCTCCCTCTTCCCCTCCGCCAGGTCTAGCGACCTCCAGATGGGAGCAGCACATGGAGGGCTGGGTGGCAGGGGGACACAGAGGGCAGCACAGAGCCAAGCTGCCTAGCACACCAAGTCCCCTGCGTGCCGTTGGTTTCCAAATTCGCTTCATCCTCTTAACCCGTAATTTAAGTACACTTTTTTTCTATTCCCTACACTTTGCTATGTATGTGGGAGGCATCTGTAGTTAATATAAATGAATAAATATCACACAACAGCATAGAATTTGTGAATTCTCTGACTGATTTGGGCAAAGCTGGCCCTTGAAAGGAATTGTTTTATAGTCTAACGGACATTTTTTAATATAATTCCCCTCACCTAGTAAAATTGTAGGAAGAAGAGGTAAAAAGACCTTAACAGTACTTTTCTCCTATTCAGAATCAAGGGAAACACTATAAACTGGCAGATGGCAACCATCCTTCCCTTTAGATTATAAATTTGCAATTAAATATGTTTTATCTGTTATCTGGACAGCACAACTGTCATGCTCTCAAGATTTTACGATGTTTCCATTGTGATGCTAATTTGTTGAGATGGCTTTCTGGGTAATTTTATATTGCTTTTGTTATTCGATTTCAAGGATTATAAAAATAATAATAGCTCTGCGTGCTGATGGATCCATTAACTAATGTCTCCATAGCAATGGCCACTCCTTGAAGAGAAGCTTCACAGTATATAAATGCAGCTGAGTGTTTGTTATTGTTATTATGGTTGGACATTTTATTGTCACATTGCTGAGAGGTTGGTACTGACATCATCCCAGGAATTTTTACAGTCCTGGGTGAGGTTAGGTGATGACTGAAATTTTTAAAATCCCCATTTCACTTGTCCTTCAGTTGTTCTGTGTGAACTGCTTCCAAGTGAAACTGAGTGCTGAGGAAGCCATGGGAAGGTTCTGAGCAAAGGAGTAACATGTGCTGCTTTTAAAAATTCTCTCATGCTACCAAAGGAGGAGTTTGTGCCGGTTTCTTAGCTATCAGTGCTTTCCCTTTCTTTCTTTTTTTCCCTGTCTTTTTGAGACAGGGTTTCACTGTGCAGTTCAGGCTAACCATGAACTCACTTTGTAGCCAACTCTCAGTGATCCTCCTGCCTCATTCTCATGAGTTCTGGGATTACAGGCATGCACCGCCGTGCTCGGTTATTTCCCTCTATATTAACAGAGAACTTTATAGATATATTTCCTTCCTGGTTTAGGTCAGTGGATTACCAACCCCAGATCTAAGCTGGCAACTAGACGGAAAGCCCATACGTCCTGACAGTGCTCACAAGATGCTGGTCCGTGAGAATGGGGTGCACTCTCTGATCATAGAGCCAGTCACATCCCGAGATGCCGGCATCTACACTTGTATAGCCACCAACCGAGCAGGACAGAACTCCTTCAGCCTGGAGCTTGTGGTTGCTGGTAGGCACCTCAGTGAATCCTTTGTCTCTGCCACAGTGAATGTCAGATTACAGGTGTACACTAACTGTGCATTATTTAACCAATATGAAAAATAAATTAAACTGCTAACAAAATAGATTTCATCCACAGGATCACCCATGTGGAAAAATTATATGGCTTAGCAAATCAGAAACAGTAATTTTTCTTAATTTAGTGTACCATTCTTATTTATTCGTCCTTTCTCTGGCTAACCTTCCCAAGAAGGAAAGGATTTTAGCAGCTTTTCTAGGTCATGTGGATGCTAGGTCATGAGGGCCATATGTGATGGCCCTCAGTATTTCACAGGGAAAAAAATAACAGCCGCATAGGCTCTAATTACTAAAGAATGTGCTTATTCAGAAAGTTTACATGCAGACCTAGTTTTTAGCAGAATGTGCAGTGGTTTCAAAATTCAAGATTTTAAAACAGCATTGTCATCTATACCCAGTGTCACAGTCAAATTCAGATTTAATTGATTGCAATGTTGTAAGTGGTATTGCATGAGTAGTATTGTATGATACCTTTTTTGAGAGGCCTAAAACGAAAACATATTTATGCAAAGATTTATTCCATCCTTGAGAGTCAGATGTAAGTACAGGTTCTGATCATCTGATATCTCTTTTTTTAACAAAACTGTTTATTTCTTATACTTCTATTTACAAAGTGTTTCATAGGTGTCGTCTCAGTCCTCACAACTTTGCTATGATACAAACAGAGCAAATCTCCTTTCCAAAGGTCTCATTGAATGAGCTGAGGATTAGGTTCACAACATCCTGTTGGCCCCTTGTGCTCTTTCAATTACACCGTCAGCCACTGAACTTTCTCAAGAAATAGAGTGGCCTGGAAAATAAAACCAGCAGGTCCTGGCTGAAATCCTGGATGATGATTCTAGAATGGCACCAAAATATTTTTCCACACTAAAATATGTGACTATGCTTTTAAATTATGTGCAAAGAATACTCTGTATTCTTACACAGCAGGACTGGTTTCATTCATTGTTCTAATCTCAAACTATTTTCTGCCATTAAATGGATCTGTTGATCATATCTGCCCTTCTCAGCTGAGACTGAGGATCCCGGAGACACAGACATCTCAGCCTGTCTCAGCACTTCTGTCAGAAGATGGCAGTGCATGGTAGTAGGAATCAAGGCCTCTGGTATCAGATCACAGTTCAAATCCAGCTCACATCTGCCTTACCATCTGTATGACCCTTGGCAAATGTACCTCAGCATATCACTTTCTCCATATGAAAATGGGGACTTTTTTTCAAAGTTTAGTCATAAAAATGTGTACAAAGTTCAGCATAAGCAGAACCTTGTATAGCACTACTCCCAAGTGATACACGTTGTCCTTCAAGGTAAGCTGCTACAATAAGGCTCGTTTTAAATACTTTAAGTTCTTTTCAAAACTGAGACTCACAAAGAATATGAAATGACCTTCTGTCCCCACTTTCCCCAAAATAGCCTAAGTCAAGTAACCCTCTTCATTAATTACTCAGTGTCGTAGAGCGTCTTCCAGAAATCTGAAATTTTCATGTAGAAATTTCTCTGAGCTGTTTCTCCTGCCTGCTTTATTTGTCACTCCAGACGAGGGGGTAGGTGATGGAGAAAGACATGCATTCTCAAAATCATTGTTCATAGCTCAGAAGAGAATAATTAAATCTTATTCTCTCTCTAAAATGGTTTCCATCACTGACCCAAGGAAAGTTCATTGGTGTAATATTCAGTGTTAAAAAATCAGTTCTAAGCAATAAAATTTTCTTTTTTATGGCTTCTTCCTATAAAATAATAATAAAACTGCCTTTTCATAGCTTCCTTCAAAAAAACACAACAGGAAATAAGGAAATACTTCTTTGGCAAATGGAAAGGGAGCAAGAGATTTTGGGAAGGGCGAAAAAAAGAGAGGAAGGGGATATAAAAAAATCAATATGTGTCAAGTACATGTACCAACTACCCACAAAGAATGTGCTCATTATGTACTACAAATATGTACTAATAAAGAGAATACAAATTCGAATCTGCAGTTTATAAAATGCACATTTCTATTTATAGGTGACTAAAGCTGGCAAACTTAGATAAAGATGCCTCCTTTGTGTTTCTCCCCCATTTAAATCCTTTGTTATATCTTAATTAAGCCAGGAGTTTTAAATCTTCAAAATCTTTAAAGCAAATACTGCCCACTGCAGTGAAGGAATCTAAGTGGATCAAATACCTGGAAATCCTTCTCCTTCTCGGCATCACTAGGTGGCAGTAGTTGGAGAGAACTGTGAGTGCTCGGTGATGTAATTAGGAGAGAAGACATCACAGATACTAGCAGTCACTTAGGAGTCCCCTGCAGCCTGTCAGACAGGCATTCTGTGCAGCAGATGGCCAGAGGACCATGTGGGCATATCAGGCTTGAATTAATTGAGGAAAAAAATGAATGGAATGAGGCATATGAACCTTTGCTTGATAATAGAGTAATTTGGAGAGGGACCTCGTATCTTAGCACCTGAAGTGAAAAAGGGTATCATGAAAGAACTATTCACAGCAGTATTTCTAAAGCCTTCTGAATTCCTTTTGTATATCACTGATAGATCTCCTTTTGCATATCATTGATGTACAAGAGCTCCTTTTGTGTATCAGTGGCAGATAATTCATCTCATGTTTTTTTAGCTAAGGAAGCACACAAACCTCCTGTATTCATTGAGAAGCTCCAAAACACAGGAGTTGCTGATGGGTACCCAGTGCGGCTGGAATGCCGTGTTTTAGGAGTCCCGCCGCCTCAGATATTTTGGAAGAAAGAAAATGAGTCACTCACCCACAGCACTGACCGAGTGAGGTAAGATTACATAATGACTTGATGTCACCCAAATGATATGTAAAAAAGATACATTTTATACAGCATATAAGTCAGTGTGTATAAAAGCCAGACTACTGAGGATTTCAAAGACAAAAATTACTCTTGACCCAAAAGAGTTTAGAAAGAAGCTACAGTGGTATGTAATGAAGCAGATCCTGACTTAACCTAGCAGTGATTTTTAAATGTTCATATCAAAAAGAAAAGATGAACCCATTTGCCTCAGTGGTAATGGACTATTCAGTGATTTTTTGTAAAGGCAAGTCAACTAGAAATTAAGAGCACAGATTTATTCAGCCCCTTGCGGTCTCCTCTTCTCTCCCATTAACTTTAATGGAGCTAGCATCCTCTCCAGAATAAGTATGACCCTATTATCTGCCATTTGCACAATTCTGTTTCTAATGACCTAATTAAAAATGATGCTTCATGTCCAAAGCCACTTTTTAAAAATTTAGAGCCCTAATGACTTTATCCTTTTCTCCAGCATGCACCAAGATAACCACGGCTACATCTGCCTGCTTATTCAAGGAGCTACAAAGGAAGACGCCGGGTGGTACACTGTGTCAGCCAAGAACGAAGCAGGGATTGTGTCCTGCACTGCCAGGCTGGATGTTTACAGTGAGTGCAACCTCGTCACATTTACTCGCTGATTTATAAAAGAAAAATCAATCATCTGGACAGCAAATCACATTACTCTTAGATAATCTTACAAACAACAATAGCATTTTGTTTACCAAAAACTCATGTTCTCTTTCTCTTTCTATTTGTAGTTTCTCGACATTAATAGTGAAACTCCACCAGGAAAACAAATACCCAAGTATCATTCAGGAATTCTGAATTATTAGCAAGATATGCATGTTGATTTCTCTTACACTGGCTAGTCAGTTGTGGCTTCCTCATCTAAGCATCCTTGGGAGTTAACAGTAGACAAAGGCATAAATGTTTTTCACATTTTCATATCACTGTGTTCTGCAAATGAGTGTCTTAACATGTCTTACTCTGTGATGATCCTGTCACAGTGTCCTAATGCACTTTGAATGTGTGTACTATTGATATTGGAGTGTGTACCTTTGTGGCTTACCTAGTGCTTTTCTCATTAATATATCTTAAGCATTTCTGCCATAGATTTGTGTTTGTGTATGTATATTTTTGTACCTTCATCCTACTTTTTAAATGTTCCTACTGAATTTCTAATCTAGTAAAGTAGTATTATGTGATACATTGACATAGGAAAACCTATTACAAAATGATTAAGAACAGATTTCACATTTTACCTCTCTTGAAGAAAAGATATCTTTGAGAGGTTCTTCAGTGAGTGAGTGGCCTCAAGCCCCCCTAATGCCCAATTCTTTTCAATTTATTAATGCTAAAACATCCAATTAGGATTCCTAGCTACTGTAATTATTGAAGAAAAAAACTGTTTTTAAAAGAGAAGGAGGAGGAGAGAGAATTCAGAAGCTTATCAACTATTTCAGAAAATTCTCACTGCTGCTGTATTGCTTGAAAATAAAGATGAACTACACTTGGTCTTTATTACCCCACTCTTGACAGTCCCACCACCCTGTGGAGACAGTGTATCTGTAACATGAGTCAAGTGCAAAAGGATCCCTGTATTTTCTATCTCTCCCTTCACAAAAAATATGTACCTGGTATCTATCCAAAGTTCTGTTTATTTAAAGCATCTAGAGATTTCCAAGTGTATGTTTGTTAAAATTCTAACTTACTCTCTTTCCTTTGTAGCCCAGTGGCACCAGCAGCCACAGACCACCAAGCCAAAGAAAGTGCGGCCCTCAGCTAGTCGCTATGCAGCACTTTCAGACCAAGGACTAGACATCAAAGCAGCGTTCCAACCTGAAGCCAACCCATCTCACCTGACACTGAATGCAGGCTTGGTAGAAAGCGAGGACTTGTAATCCAGTGTTCTTGTTAAAGCTGAAATACCGAAACAGCCATTGCCTTGACCAACAAGTTTCTCTGTCACATTATGTAAAAGGCAGAAATATACTTTGACTTACAAGAAATAAAAAACACCAAAATAATATTTTTCTTACTTGTTATACCAAACTTAGAGTTTAAGTAGGTGATGCTTATAGAAATGTACACATTGCACACAAAATTTACATTTATTGTCCAATTTAAAACTTTAGGAATTGCTGTGATAAAAGTGGCCTGAAATGCCAAAATGTTAAAGAAAATCAGTAGTAACAATTTACATTATCTACAAGTGCCTTTAAACACAAGCTATAGGTGCTACATAGCACAACAGTGTGAAATGTTCAACATGATACTACAAGGATTCTAAAGTGCAGTGTATTCAGACGCTCAAGTGAATCAAGTGCAATATTTAAGGATGAAAAAGGAAAAGAAAATGACAAAGAAATCCAAGTAAATGCCTTGTCTTTGCAAATTGTCTTATATGAAATCATAGGGAAGGAACTACTTGCCCTAAATCTTATAATATCAATTTTTCTAGTATCTTAGTTCTTAACCTTTTTTTCTTCTTTTGTGTAGTATTTTCTTTTCATGCTACCTTGGTAGGAAGCTTATTTACAAACCATATTAAAAGGCTAATTTAAATATAAATAATATAAAGTTTTCTGAGTAAAGCAGAAATATATTACAGTCCATTCCACAAAAGCTATCCAAACCATCCAGATGGATGAGCAGGGTGTACAGTATTTGGAGGAAACAGGTTTGGAATGAGTAGGGAAGAGAATGAAGGAAACCTCTTTCAGCACAGCTACACTCTGTTCACTTAGATAAAAGTAGAATGGGGAGGAAGGGTGGCAAAGGCCAGGTTTTTCTTTGGTTTTCTTGAAAATTAATTTTAAAATGTAGATTGGGGGAAAAAACCACTGCCATTTAAAAGTCAAGAAATCTAGGGTCAGCTGGAAGTGTGGAGCACATGTGCTATGGGGATCTCAGTGTATCTGGAGCTTGTGTGATATCTGAAGACTTTAGATGTGTAGAGCAAGTTGAAAATGGATTGAGACTGCAAGAGTGGCATAAATGAAAACTGCCTGTAGGACTAGTCTACGTGAGAGAAATGGAGACTTAAAAGAGAGACAAAAACAGGTCTGTGCTATACTGTATCTTTTCCACTGGCACAAAGATATAGACAATGGAAAATAGTTCACTTCCCTGCTGCCATGAAACATCATCTTAAGAAGGTGCTAGGTTCTGAGTAGTTTTTAGGGCATCGCTTCAGAGACCACTTTTTGAATGCATATGATTCTGCATCAGCTAGAATGAAATGACTCTGACCAGACTTGATGGTTTTAAGTCGGAACCAATGAAATTTTTCAGTGAGAAAAAATAATTTGGACTAATAGTAGAAAACATGAGGCTTTAATGGTACTTTGCTAAGAAAAGAAAACACTGTATCCCTTGTGCGAAACACATATATCTTTCATTATTTATAATAAAAGTGTTGAACTTTCTTAGGTCAGTTACTCAATTCATACATAGTATTTTTAAAATAATTTTATATCTGTATACCACCCCATATTATTTCATATTACTGCTTCACATGTACAGCTTTCTATGTCTTTGTAAGAACACCAACCAACCAAATGATTAATGATTTTTTAAATGATTAATGAGCACGGGTGGCAGATACTCTATGAGTGTGGTACAAGTTTCTTTGACCACACTTACATGCATTGCTAATGTGGAGTTTAAGATAACATACAGAGTCTCATGGACCTACCTATAGTGTAGAACTAATGGTTTATGTCATAGCTAACTTGCCAAACTTTTTTGAATGTGACTTTTTTTTTTTTTTTTTGCTAATTTTCTGGGTTGGGGATTAACTAGCATTATTTTGCCACCTTTTATGTTGTATTTATAAAAAAAAAAGTACTATCATGCTACTTTGGATTGTCGTGCTGGTGTAATGTGAATTTAACATCAATAAATATTTAACAAATAATGCTTGTAATTTTGTGAAGCAAAATATTAAGTTGTTTTAGTTTCTATTACTGATACAATAAATTAGCAAAAACTTAGAGGCTTCAGCTATTGCTTTTATAGTTCTGAGTCAAAAGTTCAGGCATGACATGGTCAGGTTCTCTATTTACAGCAAGGCTAAAAGCATTGTCAGCTGAGCTGCATTTCTGTTCCGAGCTCAAGATTCCCCTCCAAGCTCAAGTGGTTGTAACACAACTTAGCTCCCTACAGCTAGAGGACAGTGGTCTCATTTAGTGCTCTCAGTTCTTACAAATCATTTATATTCCTTGCCATGGAGCATGCTCCATCTTCAAAGCCAGAAATGAGACTCTCCACTCTCACTTTCTCTTTTGTCAAAGGCTAAGTTCCTTTTAAATACATACCTGATTAATCAAGCACACTTGGATTATCTCCCTTTCCTAAAATCACCTAATTTGGGGCCTTATTTATATCTGCAACATGCCTACAAAGTATCACCTAGAGTCATACTCGATTAGTTAACTAAGAAAGGGTGTTCAGTATCGGTATGGGGTATTGAGTGCCATCTTAGAATTTTACCTACCACATCAGTTTATTCTATATAAATATGTAAATACATGTATTTACCAATGCCACAGCTTACAAGGGTACATAAAATATAGCAGGAAGATACAAATTTAAAATGAGAAATAATGAAAATGATAACAGCGTTAACAGAACAAGGAATTCTGCTCTATACCCACATAGTGTCTAGCTAATTACAACAGAGAAACAGCAGATTTAGCACTAGGCTTTTCTGCTAAGGAAAAAAGCTGGTAACTTACATAATACACAGCCTCCATAAAATGAAAACATTTCATCTTTTACATAAGCTATTTGATAAATGAAGATAAATTTGAATTAGACCAGAATTGTATATTTTACACTATCTCCAAAACCTATGACTTCTTTGCTATGAAGTTTACAAGATTCATTATAAATTTAATGCTAAACTTACCCTTGATTTTCCTTTATATGGCCATAAGTAAAATACGAGTCACTTTCACGTACTCAAATGCTAGACACTAATATAATGAAAAGTTTGATTCTTTTAAATTATGGAAATACGAATTCTGTACATGGTAATGAAGAACTGGGTCTTGGAGTTGTACAACTAGGATTTCAACCTTAGCTCCTGATCATGTGGACCTATGTGATCAACAAATAAGTTACTTCACCTCCCTATGCTGTTTTCTTATTTGTAAAATGGAAATAAAATTAATACCTCTTTCTTGAGATTGCTGTGAAGATTACAGGAGGTAACAATGTATGCAGAATTTAACATGCTACCTGGAACATACACAATAAATATCAGTATATTATTTTAATACAATTTGAAGACTAAAATAGTTGGGTAAAATTATTCAGCTATAAAATGTACACAACCAGTAAAACTGGATGAACGGTAAAATTTGTGAACCTAGATGGAAACAAAATCACCTCTAAGTGAAATTTAGAATGTTCCTCTTTTATGAAGCAACAAAACATAACAATATAGAAGTACCTTCAGCTGTCCCAATTGAAATCATAAATATTCCAGATATCTTGAAATACCATTTATATTCTGCACTACTTCAAATTAATTGGTAAAATTACCAATAGATGTGATTTGGAAGCATGTATCATTTTATCTGGCTTTTTAAAATACTTGATAAGTATTTTAAGATAAATTGTTTCCTACGTATGTGTTTATAAATATTTTGAGACCTCCATATGGTCCAAAGAGTCTCAAAAGAGTATATGATATGAAATATTAAGAACCATGCCCAGAGAAATTCAAATATGTAGAAAGGATAATGGCAAAGATATTCAATCCAGCATTCTGTAAGGAAAATATTAATTGCTCATTGGTAGAGAAAGAAATGTTATGATTTATTCATACAGTGCATTACTATTCAGAAATAAAGAACTATTTACATCTGTGAATATTGATAAATATAAACTATTTGATGATGAAAGTTACAAAAGAATATGTATAGCATGGGTTTATTTATGTAAACTACTTATGTATATTTTAAAAACACATGAAAGTCATATCAATTTCAGAAGGTGATTTCTCTGGAAGGGATGAGGAATAAAAGGATCTTCAGAAAAGTCAATAATGTAAGCTGGGTGCATAATGGTAGAGCACTTGCCTATCATATGCAAGGTGCAATCTCTAGCACCTCAGTGCCATGAAAAGAAAAATAAGTCTATAATTTTTCTATTTTTTAAAAGGATTTATATGAAATATGGAAAATGTTAACATCTAAAGATGTAGATAAGTATAATTATTCAATGTATTTTCTCCATATTTGAAATATTTCATGAGGTTTTTTTATTTAAAAAAACTGATTCATGAATTTAATTTGTTCCATGATTTGGGAAAACATGGCTATGTATGTGTTTGGTGGGAAAGATAGCTGAAATGTTCATCATCTAATGCAGTTTGCAAACAAAACAAAATTTTGTCAAGCACTTCTGTTTGTGATCCAAACTGTTTATAAAGAAAAGCATTTGTGAACCAAGGGACCATATATATGATTAACTGGAGGTTTATGCTAGGAAGAAAATGCAAGTCACTTAAAAATGATGAAATAAGTCACTCACAGAAAGGCTAATTCTAGATGATTCCATTTAGGTAAGGTATCTAAAATAGTCAAACTCTTAAAAGTAGAATCATGGTTGTCAGGAGCTGGAGGAAGGGTAAATGTTCATTGGATACAGAGTTTCAGTAAAGGAAGACAAAAAAGGTCTAGAGATCTGCAATCCAATGTACACATAGATACAACTGTACCATATACACACAAGTTTGTTATGAGGCTGGAGTTCAGGTTATAGGTTTACCATTTTTTCAAGAATTGGGTTAGAGTCCCACATAGGCAGGCTGAGAAGTTTGTGCTTTGTCATAGGCAATAAAAAGCTGCTGGGCCAGTGATATAGCACAGCGCCTGCCTGTCAAGCACAAGGTTCTGAGTTCAATTCTCAGTACCCAAAAGAAGAAAAAAAAAAGCTACTGAAAGTTCTTGCATAGTTGCTTGATATAGAAAAGCGTACAGAGATCATTCTGACAGGCCTGTGATAGGGGAGATGAGAGGAGAGGAGAATGAAGAGATGAACGAGAACAACTGCAATCATTCAAGGCCAGAAAGGGATTCTGAAAAGAGGAAAACAGAAAACAGTATGCAGGAAGAACGTGCACAAGGACAAGGCTAAGGAGCTGGCAATATCTGTTCACAGAGGGTAAGAGAAGAAATAAAGTTAAAATACACCAGGGTTCAAGCCTCAGTGAGCAGGATGATGGGTCTAGACTAGCAAAGTCAAGAGGAGGCACCATCTCAAATATGCAAATTTATAAATTCTATTACAACAATATTTCCTGAAGTATGTTCTAGGAATATTGGCTCCTATGACGGAAGCCCCATGGGAAAAGGTCTGCGACCACATACTATATATCTTCTCTTAGAAATTAAACATACACATCAATACACCAAACAGTATTATGTCTTGCAATACATTGTTTAATCAAGCCTGTTTCAAATTTACTGGCCAAAGGGTAAGATTTCAAAGGAGCATCTCATGAAAGCCTTTTGTATTCTGTCTCCATTTAAAACCAACAATGTCCTAGACAACAAACTTGAAGAATTGTTGTCATATAGAATAATTTTCTCTACAAAATTGCTCATCCTCAGGCTAACCATAACTCTCACATCTCTTTGTTATCATAAATACCAATGCATGACTTCTACTGTTTCTTTCACTATGAGTTCAGGAAAGTCACTATGTACATGGCACGTGTAGAGTAAAACAGGTGCCCAGATGGGTTGCTAAACCACTATTACTAGGATTTAGTAACTCAACTTGCAAAACACAACACATCACAAATCTTCCAGGTATCTTTTGAATAGTCCTTTCAAAGGTGTTAATGCTGTGATTATTGGGGTTCATATGCTACAGGTGACAAAATTTAAAGTTCTTTAGGAGTGAAACTACTTAGAAACCCAGGGTTTAAAGACTAAACAATCTTTTCTCATTACACAACTATGCCAGTGTACAGCTCTGATTGATCTTCAAGCCAGTTGAAAGTCCTCTAGATAATCTCTGGACCTCCTTACCTCAGCCAAAAGCAAAATAACAATTGTTTTTACAAGTAGGTATACTTACGGCTAGCTTTTGAGATACTCAGATAATGGTTCAATTACTGAATATGGTGAAATGGTTCATGAATGTGGAAATATAAGAAAAATTATGAAGCCATAGTTTTATGCAGATTATATGTAGGAAGGAAAGGAATCACACATAAATTAACTACAGTGTAATTCAGAATAAACCCCCTTTGTCTGAAATGGATATAGTTGTTGACTATAATATAGCTAATACAGTACTGTAAGTTTTTGCCTTCTGTTTGTCAAGGAGGAAAAAAACGGGCAAGGAGGAAAATATTCTGTATACATAATAAATTTCCCACCTGTAAGTTTCTGTTACATGACATTGCTTTATTTTAACATTTTAACAGTTATCATATTTAACAAATACAAAAAGATATAAAGCCTAATAGGAAGCACAATCAATTATCATTTCCAAACTCAAGAAATAAAGCATTCTGAATACAGCTGAAGTTTCTTGCAAAGCCAAGCCTTATTTTATTTCCCTCTTCTTCTTATAGAGGCAACTGTCTCCTCTATAAAGTATGTTTAATTCCCATGCATTTTTATACATGTATCTCAAAACAATATATGACTCAGATTTGTTGGGATGTCATCCCATCTTGAGCCAAAGAGTACGTTACATGAAATTCTTATACTCAGATAATGCTTACATGAAATTCTTATACTCATTTATCCTTTCCTAAACTATGAGAATTTCAGTTCTAGCATGTAAGCTATTAAATCACTCTTATGAAGGTAATTTGAAAAAGAAGGGTGGAATGAAAGCCTGAGTAGAAATAAAGATTTTAGCAATGCAGCCTTGTGAAACATAAGGAAA